GAATCCTTAACCAAAAACCAATGTAATAAATGAGCCACTGTTAAGTAGAGAAAAATCAAAACGATTTTGTGATGCTATCATCATCTCAGATACTCCATTAGCAGGCTTTAGCTACTGGTCTTGGAATCTGAGCAATGTATTGGATATTGTTTAATATTAATTTATATTATTTACGAAAACATATATATATTTTAAATTAATAATTTTTTTAATTAATACAATAAGGATTAAGTCAGGGTAAAAAAAAATTCAATTCAGCCCGTCAGTTAGATAATAGAAACATATTAGATACGTATTTTTTTTACTATAAATTTAACAAGAAATAGCTTATATAACAGGCATTAAAGCTGAGATCGGAAGCTCGCTACGTCACAGTGCTGTAGAAAATGTACAAAAGCGTGACGTCATGCGACATTTTAACTTAGTATATCGATGTTATTTATTTATAACGCAGAAAATACGTATTCAATATTCACCAATAATCTACCTGACGGACAAACAGAATAAAATATACGTATAATATTTTTAGAGATTTGATGACATTTAAAATAGTTTACGAATTTAAAAAAGAAGTTATGTTAAGGCAACGATAAACCGTATTGACGTTGAGCGTATATTGAACGCGCGTCTACCACCGACTCTCCTCACACTCGGATATTTCTATATATATTGAATCCTGTGTTCCCTCCATCTTAAGCGTCTGCAAATTTTTATATCATTAAATGTGGTAATTATTTGCAAAATAACAATATTGCATTAAATAAAAAATAGATAGAAATTATATATAAAACAGCGTAAATGTACCAACTGGTATAATCAGCCGATCGATGGGCGGCTAGACCTTTAATTGAATGGCGCCATACTATTAACGGGCTGATTTTCGATCAGCTGAGTATTTGAACGCAATATTCTACAATACGGCTGAGTAAAGGTCAACCAAAAGTTCAATGGGAATACCGAAATTTATTGGTAGTATTAGAAGTAAAACAAAATAAATATTGTAGTGGATAAAAGGTCATAGGTTCGAGTCCCATCACAGAGTGTCAGGGACAAAGTGGATTTTTAAGAATTTTTCATTAGGTTTCCGTTTCGTCAAGCGCCATCCTATTAATATTATAAATGTGAAAGTTTCTTTGTTTGGATGTTTAGATGTTTGTCCGTCAATCACGCCGAAACTACTGAACGGATTTTGATGAAATTTGGTATACAGATAGGATATTAGCTGACTTAGATAATACTTTTTATCTCACTAAACATTTCGCAAGGGTCCACGCGGGCAAAGCCGCTATCACAAGCTAGTAGTTAAATATAAATTATTTGGGCTAATAACGGATACGAGGAAATTCTTAAAAAATATATATATCTTATATTTTGTTATAACCAAAAATAAATAATTAAAATCCATTTATTTGGAACAAAAATAAAACAGAAGCAACACAATCACATAGACACAACTAAATCTCTGTCCCAAAATGGTAACTACGCCTTAACATCTGAAACAAACGTACGTGTGCGACGGCAGTCACATAGCAGTACCAGAGAGACGTCACGTCTTCCGTTAAGTCAGCAAAATGGCGGACGATTGTTGATTAAGCAAAATTTTATTATGATAATATAATATCAAAACGGTGACATAACACACGCAGCGTCATGAAGGCCGTTAGTATTGCGGTCAGCATTATTGTAACACTGAGTCATATTTAACAGCTGACGCCAAGAGATAGGATGATGCCTGTGTGAAAAAAAAAGAAATACTATTTAGCCTGTCAGTCAATTAATATAAAAATATTAGATACGGAGGAGTGAGGGCTCGCTACGTCACAGCTTCGTAGAAAATGTAGAAAAGGATGACGTCATGTGCTCAAAAGGACATGTAGATCAAATTCACTAGTATTCGACTTTCACAAGTGCTTGTAACAGCCTAGACTGAATAAATGATTTTGATTTTGAAAAAAGAAAGTCCAATAAACTATAATTACAAGATACAAAACTATTTCATAAGTCTATGGTTTTAATTGAGTTTTTTTTTTACCTATTAAATTCTAACCTATTAACCTGCGACCTTTTTTGGAAGGCAAAATATTTAATATATTAACGAGTGCTAGGTAAGTACGTGAAGGAAAATGCTCAGTGTGTAGCCCCCCCCCCCCCCCCCATTAAGCGATCCGACAATCATTTAAAGGTCGCGGGAAGCCGCTGGATGTGGGCAGCACAGGACCGATCGTCGTGGAGGCCTATGGGAGATGTTAACTTAGTGCAAAAATTTTTTTTTTGTTTGAGAGGTTTTGCCCAGCGTTGGGCGTCGATCAACTGATATAACGATTATATGAGTAGACAAGGTTAATGTTTTGATTTCACAACATCAAATATATTAATCGTAATAGTTTACGGGAAAATATTAAGTAATATACAAAAACTATGTATACTCTTGGTAATATATATTTCGCGCGATATATTATCACGTGTCTCTATATTTCTCATAAACTAGCTTATTGGTTTAGTCCCATTTCCTATTTATAGTTAAACGCACTCTTAACATAATGGTGTGCTCTTCAAAGTTAAACGCACTCTTAACTTAGTATTGTCAAAATAATCTCGAGGCTATAAAGCATTCGTAAGGAGTATATCTCGAATTTGTTAATCACCTATATAATATAAAGTATTTTTTTTAGATATTATAAGAGATTGAAATCGATTTTATTTCATTTAATTTAAGAAAGAAAAACAGGTATTTGGAATAACAGCTAGATGATCTTACTCATTTTGCCTGACGATCCTAAATTTGAAGCCCGAGTACCTAATATTATATTTATTTATCAAAATCTGCTCAGTAGTTATGCGTGAAAAAGTTACAAACATACATAATCCTCACAAACTTTCGCATTCATATTATTAGTAGGATTAAAATAACCTTTCAAAAGAAAAACCTCTACACTTGTAAATTGAAAAAAGTTCTGCCATAACGAAGCCAATTAAAAAACAAACCGCGTCCGATATATATTCGCCGCTTTTTTTTTCTTTTTTTCCTTTCTCCCCCATTACCCGTCGAGGGCGCGCTTGATCGAGGGCGCTTTACACCGTACGGCTTTTGTCAACTTTAATTGGCGGAAGCGTTCCGATTTCCCTTGCGTCAACATTTTTTACGGATGAAAAGACAATTAACCGTTTGAAGGGCCATAGGGCTATAGGGGTGAGATCATTAAAGTATCGGATGTCACTTGTTTAAGTAGTGCAAAGCTATTAATTGTAATCAATATGGACGTGATTGATTACAAATCAAATAAAGTATTGATAATGTTACAGTTTTTTTTTTGTAATGCTTAGAAATAATTTTACCGAAGAGTCGATTTATAGACAGGTGCCTATAGTTCCCGTGTCAGTTTCCATATGATTTTTGATATACCTGCCTATGCAGCCAGGATCAATGACTTAATGTACAGTCAACAGCACGTCAGGATATACAAATCTGTCAAATTTTTCAACTTCACTTTACCTTCAAGTTTTGTGTAGCCAAAGAGTTTACAATCAAATGAAGTTTGACAAATTATGGTAACCTCACGTGCAGCCGTATGTATCTTCAGAAACCTTAGACAACCCAGCTTATGACTCGCCCTTGCGTGATTTCTAAACTGCGCAATCGAGTTCCTCTTGTTAAAGTATTAGTGTAGAGAAAAATAGTAGCAATTTATATTTTACTAACTTTCGTATTTATTTTCAGGGTGGCAACACTGACAGGGTACGAGCCACAGGACCTCATCGAAAAAACTCTCTATCATTACATCCACGGCACTGATGTCTTGCATATGCGCTATTCACATTGTACACGTAAGTATTAACATAATAAACTCGTAGTTTTCATTTAAATCGGTTCAGTAAAGGAGTGAATACGTGACAGACAGAATTACTATCGCTTTTATGATATAAATATGTACTGAGGATTTTCTCGTGTAGTGCTACCATCATATCTAAGGTTCTTTAATGCAGAAAAAAAATCTATTGTAATTTTTGTATTGCTCTATTAGTCTATTAGTGTCTTGTCAATTTTCATAGCTAAATAGTGCTGAATGATGAAAACCAAAAAGATTCATCTTTCCTGGCAAGCTTACTTAAAAATCAAATTCTTCATTGGGTGACATATCTGAAGTTTTATAATATGTATTTTGTGGGGTATAGATTTTATGCTACCTTATTTGTTTTGGATTTTAATAATACAAGGGCTATGGATAATTGAAATCTGCTAATATTCTTGATGACAAATGCTTAATAAATCTACTTGTAACAGGTGTTTTGAGATGTGGCTTGAAACCACGACCTTCCACAATTCGGGCGACTGCTCTAACCACTGAGCTACCTAGGACCTGTTAATATTTTATTTTGATTTACTACTCATTTATTAGAACAATTTTACATGTTCAAATGCGTGTAATTTTCATTTTATTACATTTCGGTTTTGGTCACTAGCTTTCAATAGTTATTTTTATGACACCCATAGCTTGTTATTGATTTCTTTTCTATTCTAAAACGCTCTTAATAATTTCTCGACAGTGTTAACCAAAGGACAGGTGACATCACGCTACTACAGATTCCTAACAAAGTCTGGTGGCTGGGTTTGGATGCAGAGTTACGCTACTATTGTACACAACTCTCGTTCTTCAAGACCACACTGCATAGTCTCCGTCAACTACGTGTTAAGGTATTTCAAATTGGAATTAACTAAAATCATACTAAAAAAAATAATCTTACTATAAAGGACAATGATGATAGATTTGTCGCAACCAAGTGGTAATCAGACCAATTAGGCGGCTAGCCCTTAAATAGAATGGCGTCATTAAATTAACAGGCTGACTTATGATGAGCCGATTAGCTGAACACAAATTAATTAATTTAGAACGCTTTTTAATTAATTTTAGTATATAATAAAATATTTATATTTAAAAAAAAATACGGTCTCGGGTTGCCTGATATAATTAAATGTCTAAATATATATTTTTCTTTTATAGCGACATTGAAGAAAAACATCTTGTTTTAAACATAGACCAAGGACCACCGAAAATAAACCACGACGTGCCGACACCATTAGCGCCCAACACATCACCACAAGTACCAATTAGACAGACAGATATCAAATTGAACCACATACATTTGAACGAAAGCGATTTCAGTGGCGACTCGAGCGGCGGCTACCCTTATCCAGAATACAACCTCCCAGTGTTGCCATCTTACGAACAAGAGGACTACCATCAACAACAAAACGGTTCCTATCCCGAATTATTCTACGAAAACTACCACGAACCGGAGATTCTACCGAACAATTTCGTCAACTATCCACAAAATCAACGACCTTACTCAGCTAGTTCGTCATCTTGCAGTTCAATAGAGAGTTCAGAGGTTGCAAATCCACAGTACAATTATACGAATCTAATCTCCTTTTACGGGCACAATCAGAATCAAAATGGCCGACCGATCGATGGCAATTTTGGCGGGAACTATGGTAAAATTACCCCAAGTCCGTCGGTCCAAGAAGGCGCGTACACTAGTGTTATAGTAGACAATACGCAGCAGTTTCACCACCACGGAGGTGGAGTAAACGAGTTTGTGCATTGACAAAAGTGAAAAATAGACTCCTCAAAGAGGTTTTTATAGAATTTTGTGATAAAAACTTTTTGTATGTAAAGTTTAAAGGCTTCTTTTTAGTTTCGATCTATTTAAAAAGAGTATGATAGGTCACGGACAGTTTCTCTACTCGAAAATATACGTATGACATTACGTTGATATTATAATTTAAGTTTTTAGTCTTTCTATAAACTATAATGTTTTCGCTCAAAGCGTATCTAAGATTATTGTTATTACAATAATGTATTTAAACATAAAAATATCGGCATTTCATTCATAATACAAAGCCTCCAATGGAACACTAGCGCCATCTCTCGCCGCTCAATGACAACGTAAACGTGAAGTTTCACCATGAATGTAAAACGTGATGTTTCGAACAGAGACAAAATTATTTTGTTAACAAAACTTGCATATTTAACGAATTTCTACTTAATTAGACACGTTTAAATCTATATATAATTATTATAATTATAAATATTATACAAATGTGACATATCTGTTTTATCGCTATATTTGTACGTATTATTTAAGTATTTTTTACTTATGGTTTTTGCAAATCATTTTTATCGGCTATTAATAGAATTTGTACACAAAACTATGATCGACTCCGCATCGTAAAAACTCCTGGCTCATACGCCGCGTTGATGAACCCACCGTAGAAGGGTATCTATCTATTCATTGAGCCCGTGTTGCCATCGAGTGCAATTAATAAACAAGATTTAGCGTCAGAATAAATTTACGCTAAAATTGCAATTTTAGTTTAAGTCCAAATTAATTTTCTACAGAGAATAAGCAAATCTACTACAAGGAACCTACCTACTAAAAGTTTCTAGGAGTAAATATTACTCCCGTAGAATCTCGTACTAGGTTAACCTTTGCCAAGTCTCGGTTTAATTATGTGAATTTTGACTAATACTAAGTGCAGTCTCAGTAATTTAATTCGTAATTTACTCCAACGCTAAACCTTGTTTATTTATAACACTGTTAGTTAAGATTGTCCCAAAACTTCGATCGCAAATTTCGTTGTAAACTAAAGTAATGTTAACCGAAATTTATTTTTAACTAACTGACATATTTTTTATTCGATAAAATATTCTTCCGAAATGGTCTCAAAAAAATTATTCGAAATCGGATCAGTAGTTTTGTTTTCTTCCAAAATAACTGGACATACTATGTGGTCTAAACAAACAAAATCGCGTCTTTGTTTTCCTAGGACTATTGTTAACATCCTCCATTTACTTTGAAATGGAAAAGGCAAAGACACCTTATATGCCCTGTTATATCAAAGAATTGATGTCTCAAAAATCATAGATATTATACCTGTGATCAATAAATATCACGTTAAACAAAGCAGTAACAATGCTTTCCCTTTATACTTTTATGTGGGCGGTTATTAAACATACGTTAAACCTCCGCCCGAATTCAATAGCAGCTTTTCAGTCTTAGTTTTCATTTTTTTTTTTTGCTAAGACAGTATCTTACCCATTCAAAGATCTATATTTTGTATTTGATACATAATTTTGAGGTTAAAATTATCAATTATGATTATGTCTGTGCTTTAAACAAAACAAAAAACATCACGATGCATTTAAAAAAAGAACAAAGCTTAAGATCGCATCACCTATAGGTATCCTTATAAAATATGTACCTAGTTTAAGAATAAAATTTGTAAATAAATTGTAAATATGTTTTTTATATCATAACAAATGTAGATATCTAATTTAACTTAAGATATTATACTTATAGGTATTGAATTAAAATAGCTTTACAATATACTTTAATATTCGTACAAATAATGATAATAATATATTGACTGAAACAATTTATGTCTTTGCTTTTATTTAAACGATTCCCGTTTCAGATCATTTAAAAAAAAAGTCTGAACGACTGCTTCAGTGATGCCAATTTGACCCTTGGGGGCTAGATCTAGATCTATCCTTTTTATGTTTTTTCAGCCCGTAACAAAATTATTTAACCCATAGTTCATTTTCTGGCTCTAGAATCCAGTAAAACAAATAGACAAAAAAATTCAAAACTAGCACTCCAGCATAAGCCCTGCCAACGCTATTTCCGATCTCGATTTTGTCTTTGAATCAACGTTCATGTAAACTGTAAACGAACAACATGTTTTATGGTGGTTAGAGATTTAGTGACTTCAATTCTAGGAACAATATCTCTCTAGCGATAAGTGACGAAGGTGTTATAATCTGAATATTTCTTTAAAAATCAGTTCTTTAATTTTCATCAAAATATGGCATTTTTGTTTTTATTGTTTACGTAAGTTGGTGTAACCAAGCCTTAGTTATTGTCTCTTAATCATTCAAATCATGCGTTTGCGACTTCAAACGTTACATAATTAAAAAAAAAACACTATACTTCTGAAAGGTATTGCGATAAATATTTTAATTAGGCCACAGGTAAAACATACTACACCATACACACATGTTCATGTAGCCTATAAACTAAATAAAGGCCTTACTAATAAGCAATGTATATTACGTAGGCGTAGTATAGTTGAGTGTTTAGTTTTCTCTTTTCCTCTCAAGCTAAATGTCACATTAAAATGACGTGAACAGAGCTACGAATAACTAAACAATTAATTTATCTTTCCTACTATTATGGGGTTATACCCATATTCAGAAGAATAAAATTGGATTTTTATATGTTGGCGTCAAAAAGGCTGAAATTAATGAATTGATTTAAAATAATCTTTCACCTACATAAAGCTCCGTCATACGCGGGTGATAGTCTATAATTTATATAGGCGATGTCGTGGGAACGTACGTAGCTTGGTGGCGTAGTGGATAAGCGTCGCGGCCCGCGATCGTTGCTGTCAAGCAACTTTCACAAGGGTCAGTCATGGGATGGGTGACCAAAAAAAAATATGGGCCAACTTGGAGAGACATGGCCCATCCTTCTGGGACGTAAAAGGACTGATGATGAAATCGTGGGTAACTGACTAGTTATAAATAAAAGTCACACGGCAACTGATCAACACGTATATTAGGTGCTAGTCGAGATTAAACTCTATAATGTCGGGCAATTCCAGGTCGCCGTCGCTGTCACTGCTGTGCCTCTCGGCTGCCGCCTGTAAAAAAAACATTTCTTATTAGAACCTACTTTAGTTTATTATCATCAAAATCCATACGACTGCTGAGCATAGGCCTCCCCCATTGATCTTTACGACGATTGGTCCTACGCTGCCTGCGGCCAGCGGCTTCCCGCAACTTATATAAAAACAGTTTTAGGTCCTACCTCCGTTGCATTATAAAGTATTGGAAAATGGGTTTCTTTGTAGTCGTATTAGTATTAGTCGTATTTCGAAAAATAAGAGCAAATTTCTTTTTCGTAGAAATATATTGTCTTCAGGTGTCACGAAATGCGAGCGGCCATGACAGAGCATCGTGTGACGTCACATTTCAATGAACTAAACGTATACGTCTTTGTTGCGAGTGCAATCAGTACTTATTTTTATTGAATTGTGACGTCACGGCTCGAAATGTCACGTGACTGCTTTCGCGGGACAGTTTAAGCTAATCAATAACAATGTAATTTCTCTTTATTTAATGATACTTTTGGTGAAAAATATACCTGCTAGTTATTTAATTAATATGATCATATTAAATAATTAGCAGATTTATTTTTCTCCGTGTTTATTATGAAGGTTTTAAAATACCTTTCAAAACGGTCTGTTGCACAAACGTCCATTAAGGTTTAATGACGTCTTTAAGCTCTAATGAATGTCAAATTTGTACGGATAATGTCGCTTTAAAATAACGACAATTTTAATAGACGTTTATGCAACTAGGTGTAAAACAGTAAACTAATTATAAAATAAAAATTTGAGTTATCGCTTCTGCACTCAGTAGAACAAAAAATTACTTTTATTTTACTATATAATACATGTTCATTTGCAAATACGTTCTCTTATTAATTGTAGGAAAAATAAAACAAAAGAAATCTAGTAAGTTCACCTGTCTCCGCGTGCGCATCCGCCGCGGATGTCTGTCTTCATCGTCGTGTGATGAATCCCCCGAGCTGCCACCGAGGCCCATCACCGCGTCACGTAGTGATGCTATAGCTACTGATACACAGACATACACATCAAGACAATGACCATAACAACTTTTGTAAATCTACATATATCTTCAATATATGCTTTAAAAAGAATTAAGATCCTATCTGCTCTATCTTCAAGGTATGTCTGGTGAAGTGTTTGAACGAGGGCTTACGAAATCCTAACTTTATTTTCTCTTCTTGACACCTCTAAAAACTATTTTTAATTGTTGTTTGATACGTTGTAAACACACCGTCAATATATTTCATGGGAATCTGTTATATTTTCTATGAAAAAAATTGGTAAAGTTTTCATAGACAAAATGGCGCAAATACCGCTGCTCTATGTAATGGCGCTGATCATGTGGTATTTGTGACGTCAAGGCGACATAACCTTTTTATTTATAGACAAATAGTATTACAGAAAAGAAATTGAAGTTAAATTTTATGTTTCGTATTTGCATCTAATCTGATTTTATTTACAAAAATGGCCTACATATTGTATATATAACACAAATGTTGCTTATCTCTAATAACACAGTTTAGTCATAACAGCTTCCTGTTGACGTGTGACGTCACATGCCAGTAAACAGAACCTGTTATTTATTGGTTACGACGACAACCAATTACAGGGCGTTTTCGTCGTTCATTAAATTATAACTTAAAAATGTACCATTTTCTTTTACGTTATTTTACTAAAAAATAAACATTATTTGATTATTATCCAATGGGATGACCACAACATGCAACTTATTTTCAATAGTAACTTTTATTCTATCGTATTATAATCTCATGTATGAGCTTAAATCTATTTAATATTAATTTTATTTCTAACTGGACCTCTGTGATATTTAATTTATCATTATTTATTATACAATTATCTATTTTACAGAATATATCTCTTTTATGTAGACATTATTAGTTTTTCTTATAATAAATAATTAATACAAAAATAAGTTCCTAATAAAAAATGCTTGAAAAATCCACTTTGTCTTTAGAGCAGGTGCAGCAAATTAATAATTTAATGAGAAAAAAAAATAGTTCCCGAAATCAAACTAGATGTTGCTACGGTACGTTCTTGATTTTTCCAAGCCAACCCTTCCGGTTTTCTTTCATGTTTAAAAGTAAATTAGTTTTCAAAATTCAGTAAACAACTCATATTCTATTCGTATTTGTGTTGATATTTAAGTTTCGAACTTTTCAAATTTCAGTTTTTTAATATGTCAGTTAAAAGGAACGGAAATGACTGTCTTAAGTCCATTTGTTTCCTGCAAAAATCAACTTTTGCTAGAGTCGCCATCTAGTGGAAGTGCTTTTCTAGTGCTTTAGTTTTTTTTTTTAATACTTCATAATTGAGTTTCTGAATAAGTAAGTTTTTATTAGTGTCAGTTTAGAAAATTATCTTCAGCTGCTGCAGGAGAAGCAGCTGCTGCACTTGCTCCGCAAAATCAACTCAAATTCAACTCAACATGAGAGAAAACAAAACGGTCAAAATATTTTTGTTACTGTTGGGAAAATTTTCCTAATGATTTATTAAAATTAAGTTACAAATGTGCCGATTTTTCCTGAGGCCCCATCCAACGAATTTGTCAAGATATTATAGTTGTACCACTAATGGCCTCGAACCTATCAACCCGGAACCAGGATTGGGAAAGGTAATTGGTTCGAGTCCAATCTCAGAGTGCTAGGAACAAAGTCAATTTGGAAGCATTTGTCATTAAGAATTCGATGTTCTTCTGTATGTTATGTTGTCATAAACCACATGTAATGTTAACTCACAGTCATCGTCGTTGTCGGAGCCGGAGTCTGAGCCGTCGTCATTCTCCGAACCGCCCGCCAATTCTTCTTCTTCGTCTTCCTCCTACGAGAAGAATAACAAACATATTATTTTACCTATCATACCAAGATTTTTATTCTAGGTATGTAGTTAGTGACTTGTGATATTTAATAAAGGCTCTCTTGTACCTCCGCTTGCGTTCCCATAAAAATGTGCAAACAAATATGCATTATAAAGTAGACGTCTTTACTTTATATATAGATTATATTAAAACCTATTTACAATCATCTTTGTGATTTTTTTATATTTATTTATGTTTCCTAATTTTTGCAAACTATCAATCATATGTTTATGAGAAGTAGCCTTAAAAGTAAGTTGACAATTTAATTCGTATTTACATAAAAGATACGTATACTTTAGATTATATTAAAATCATCTTTGTTTTTTTTTATCGAGCCGATTACTGAAATTTATGTTTTCTAATTTTTGCAAACTATCGATCATATGTTTATAAGAAGGTGTAAGCCTTACAAGTAAGTTAACAATTTAAATAACAACTTAATACGTGTAAACAAGACTAAGCGAGACTGACCGCGTCATCGTCGTGGTCCCTCTTGCGGCCGACGTCGTAAACTTTGACGCAGGACTCCTGCACCTGATCGAAGTCCCCCATGTTCTCGACCAGTGATATCTGCGTGCCCCAACGGGACACCGCCAACGAGTAAATGTTCCGTTTCACGTCTATCGTGGCTGTATTAATTAGATTATAATATCATCATCATTATCCAGCAGTTTTACCATCCCCACTGCTAGGCCTTTCTTATTAAGAAGGATGGGCGGTGACCTTCACGCTGACCCAATGCGTACTGGAGGGTATTAATGACTGCAGATGCAGCCGGGACCGACGGCTTAACATGCCTTCCGAAGCACAGAGTAGCTCGGGATAATAGTTTTTGGTCACCCATCCCGTGACCGACCCTTAATAAAGTTGCTTAACGACAATTTTGTCACCCATCTTAAAATAGGCCCATGTTTAACTTTCATATCACACACCGAACGCGCTAACTACTGCGCAATCGAGTTATATATAATACAGCCAATTTATTATGAATAAAAGTATCTACATTTTGAAAGTAATAAATTCGCTAAGGATTACTTCAGTTTCAAAATTTTTCAAAATTCAAAAATAATATATATTATTTTTAAAAATAAAACAAATCTTCATCTACATATATAGTACTAATATAAGTGTAACATTAGAAACAAAAGACGTCTTGAAAGACGAGAGTGAAAAAATAATGACGATTCCAAAATACTTAAAATAAGTTTAGTTGAATAAAGATATTGCCTTTAGTATTACAACAGGATTTGCTCACCTATACTGGAATAATCGTATGGATCTAGCGTCTTAAAACTGGTATCGAATTGGCTACGTTCCTCCGAGTCTTGATCCGAACAGACAGCGTACAGCGCCGTACACGACGGATTGAATACTACCTGCACACATACATTATTATACAAATATTAGACAGCACTTATACATAGTTGAGGGGCGCGACCGGGTAACTCTGTAGCCATATCTTTAGGATACCTTTTAGCCATTATTATAGACGATATTTCGTCTAATTTAAGTACTTTTACACATCTTTTGATATGTTAATTTAGGATAAATATCACCCCGTTTCTGAATTGAGTATTTAAATTAGTACATTCGATCTTTTTTGCATTCACAATGCTGTAATGAAGAATATTCATAAAAAAAACCACTTTGTCCCTGGCACACTGAGTTGGGACTCGAACCTCGTTGGGACGAATTCGAAAGAACAATTAAACATTTTTTTATTCAGCATCCCTTATACTCTTTAAATGAATTTATGTCTATGCGTTTGGATGAATATTCATTCCTACATAAAGATGGATGAGATAGGAAATTGATTAGAACACTGTGGTAGATGACAAGATATAATAATCATCAATATTTTATGACATAAATTATATATAACCTATGTTTGTATAATCTAATTTGTGTTAATAGGTTATATTATAATTTAATTTGTAATGTTGTAATTTAATTGACTGTGATATAATTAATTATTAAGGATCGGAAAAATAACCATTTTGACATTGTTAAGATACTTAATTTATTTGACATTCCTACTTACAATGATTTGACCTGCATGATTTAAACCTTTATTTTTAATTTAATATGCTTATTGTAAAAGACTTGCCGAGTGTAACCTGAGTTATATGGCCAATAAATTATTTGATTTGAACCCACGACCTTTCGCAATACGGGCGACTGCTCTAACCACTGAGCTACTCAGGACCTAACAGGACTGACGAATGTTTCAAGCACTTGTTACTTTTTCGCTAATACAGAGCGTATTTTCATCGATGTTAACGCAAACCACCCAAACTGACTAAAGAAATATTTGAACTTTCAATAAAGCGAAAGGACATAGATTCGAATCCCATCTCAGTGTGCCAGGGACAAATTGGAGTTTTTAAAAGCATTTTTCAATAAATTTGAGTATTTAAAGTTAAGCACATCTAAAACTGTATTTAAACGTCATTGAAACAGATTTTCGTTTATAATTTTTTTAAATGATAGTAGTTTGATAAATACTATTATAATATTATAAATACTATACAATTTTACTATAAAATTTAAAAGGACGGAGGAATTCAAGTTAATTAATCTTTGGTCACCCATGCTATGATAGGCCATTGCGAAAGTTGCCTAACAACCGTATCGCAGATCTACCGCTTTAAACACTGCGCCATCGAGCTTCTCGTAAACTTAATACCTTGTTACAATAAGCGTAAGGTTGAATATAAGATTAAATTTATAACAGTTCAAAAGCGCTTACCTCGCACTTATCTAATGTTGGCACAGTCCTAAGAAGATGGAACGTTCGTAAATCCCACACTTCCGTATTTGATATGACCTGAAACAAACATTCATATCTTTTAAAACAACCATATAAATCAACGTCAGTACTCACTGCCTACCCTATAAGGGATTAGGCGGCGACCGTGTTATAGCTATCTAAATATATACTGATTGACATACAGCCAATGCACAAACGTCCATTAAAATTATTATTATTTTAAAGCGACATTACCCATGCATATCTGACATTCATTAGAGCTTAAAGATGACATTAAATCTTAATGTACGTTTGTGCAACTGACCGATAGTGATCTATCAACTCACAGTCCAAACAACTGGACGGATCGGGCTGAAATTTGGCATGCAGGTAGATGTTATGACGTAGGCATCCGCTAAGAAAGGATTTTGATCAATTCTACCCTCAAGGGGATAAAATAGGGGATGAAAGTTTGTATAAATCTTCTTAGATTTTCGACTGATCGAACTGAAATTAAAGATTGAAGCTACTATAATGTAGAAGTCCACTTAAATAAGATTTTGATAAATTCAAACCCCATGGGGATAAAACAAGGGATGATGGAGGATGTAAATGTATTGGTTTGAACCTTTAGCACGCGGACGAAGTCGCGGTAAGATCCCCCCTCATAAGGGGGATCTAAAGCAAATTGATTGGACAAAGACCATATGGTCCCCCACCTTGCCGGGGGACCATATAATTAGAGCACCCCTTTTGCCTACAGGGGTGCCATATACAATACTCCATCATCATCATCATCATCATCATCATCCCCCCCAACTAATCCCAATTTAAAATTTTATAAAAAAAAACCCCGTATAATCGGTTCAGTAGTTCCGTAGCCTATTCGATGCAAACAAACAAACAATCGAATCAATCTTTTTATTATTAGTATAGATTAAAAAAAACTACTGGTATAGACAAATAGAAAGAAAGTGTCCACTTACTTCTAGTCCGTTCGGATGAAACACACCGCTATGCGTCTGATTCAACTTATCGAACTTGTGAATTTCTTTCCCTGTATTTACGTCCCATAGAACGCCATCTAGGGAGAGGAAATTAAAACATGTTTCAAAATTGTACATTAACAGGTGATCAACTTTGTTTATCGTTTCGTAGCTGTATGACACTAAAAACAAGCTTCACGAAACTTATTTCGGCACATGTGAAGGTTCAGAGTGATAATTATCGCTATAATTATCACGACAATTGTCTTGATAAATATACTTTGATAATAGGGATGATGACTGAGTAAAAAAATTGCAATTCTATTCAGTCCGTCAGTCAGATAATAGAAAAATATTAGATACATATTTTTTTTTACCTCAATTTAACAAGAAATAGCTTAGGTAACAGGCATTAAAGTTGAGGAGTGGGGGCTCTCTACGTCACAGTTTAGTAGAAAACGTACCATAACGTGACGTCATGCGAAATTTCAACTCAATTTAACGCCGTAATTTTATGATTACCAAAAAAATACGTGTTTAATATTTTTTAACACTCTACCTGACGGACAAACAAACAAAAATTAGTCGTCATCCCTATTATGAAATACTACACAAACTATTTTTTTTTTACTTTAAACTTGTTATTAAAAGGGAATTTTTAAAGAACTATCAAATGTGGTTATTCAAGATGAACTACAAAAAACAATAAGAATATTACAAGCCCCCTTTTTATTAAAAAAAATATTTCAAATTCGAGAGCGTTTCGTTAAAAACAAAAATAAAATCTTTCCTCTTTCTAATTTATATGTATAAAAGCGAAAGGTCACTCACTCACTCATCACGAAATCTCAGAAACTACAACTAGAAGTTTCAAACTTTGCATGCCGGTTCTTTTAAGGACGTAGGTGCTCACTAAGACGGCATTTTATGAAATCCAACCCCCACGGGGGTAAATTGGGGGATGAAAGTTTGGAAGAAACTTCTTTACAACAAGTGCTAGGAGTTTCAAATTTTGCATGCGGGTTCTTTTTAGGGCGTAGGTGCTCATTATAGACGGGATTTTACGAAATTCGTCCCCTAAGGTGGTAAATTGGGGGATGAAAGTTTTAATGGGCTAGTGTTAGTATAAATGGGTTATGTCTCTAAAAATAAAAAATGTGTAAACTAACCAGATAAAACCAGTTCATCGGTAGGATTAAACGTGGCCCTGTTCTTAGCGTACTGGTTGCTTATTCTGGGCGTTAAGGTCATCAGTTCGACACCTGTCCTTGTGTCGAATATCGTGGCGGTCTCCCCTTTGGTGCCGATGATTCGATCGTCTGAGACCTTGGAGAATTCCACGTACTCCTCGTTGTCCAGCTGAAATCTGACGGTGGCTTCAGCTCACATTTTTATGCTGCCGATATATCGTCAATGTGGGATTTTGAAACACACACTTATGCACATATATAGTAATTACATATACAGTGAATTCCAACTAATATTATGAATAATAAATAAAGCAAGAGCCGTATTTTCTAATTTTAAAATCTGTCGCAATCCATTTGAGTTTAACGTTCAAAAGAATAATAGCGATTGAGAATGCGATATCTTTTCAAAGATATTGAATTAATTATATCGTATACAGACTTTAATTTGAATAGGGATGGGTCCTACAAGTATTGTTGCCAGACGTCCCGCATTTAGCGGGATGTCCTGCTTTTCAGCCCTCTCAGGACACGTCCCGCCAGACCCCTGAGCGGGACGCCCAAAATCCCGCTTTTTCAGCCATACCGGTAATCACTATGTGAGTGAACGACTGCCGACTATGCATGCGAGGCGCGCGATCTCATAGAAGTTCCTTATATGTTATGTTTTTGTTTTTAGAGTTAAATGTAGTAGCGATTACACTTCCTGCCCTGCGATTCTGTAAAAATCCAGACCCGAATTCGAATTCACTCATGTGTCCGAATTCCCGTCATTTAGTAAAGAAATCCTATTGATTCCATTTTTTGTATAAAAATACTAAACAAAATTGATTGATTAAACGTGTCTTAGATATTTTAATCCTATATCATTTCGAAACTCACTTCACTTATGTCACGAAACATTATTACCAATTCAAGTTTGAGCGGATGCCGCTTTTTGAAGTGAATTCGGACACCTGAGTGGATTCGAATTCGGGTTTGAAGTTTTACAGAATCGCAGGGCTGATTTCATAAGTCCAATGCGGCATACATTGCGTGATACAAAGGTATGAGAATGGACAGTTGCAAACAAAAACGGCAATGTATGCCGAGTTAAATGCGTTTCAAATAAAAATTTGAATGAATTTCGATATTGTAAATGTTTTATTCTGTCCCGACTTTTTCACCCCAGTCCCGCTTTTTTTATGCTAATGTCCCGATATTCAGAAAAACGAATCTGGCAACGGTACCTACAAGTGAAAATACAGGTTTCTGTCATATGTTCGGAAAACATGAACCATTTTAACTTAAATTGTTTTAAAATATGCTGCGAGAACATAACATTGAGTTAGTTACATAAAATATAACAAACTTTCATTATAACAACTTTAAACGCACAAATAACAAAGATACTCCAGGAGCCCTCCAGGAGCAGGATACGTTTTTCTATTCTGTTGCAAGGCGAAAGGTCACTTAGTAGCTTGACTTTGATGGGAGCGCATACGGCCCCCTAGCAGCAGTTCCACAAACATCTTCTAAACTATTAATTGCAAACATGATGTTTCTTCTACATTATTACTCAAGATTCTTTTATGAAATATAAAAAAGGCAGTCAACTAAGCTATTATCTAAGGCAAGCATTAGATGTAGATATTACTTTCCACGGGTTTAGCTTCATTTTTATTATGTTTGTTTATCATTCAAAAACGTTACACAATTACAAAAATCGCTATACCTTTTTAAGGGATTGTGATACATTTTAAAATTATACAATTAGCCCACAGATCTATCAATGATGATGACCAAACGTACGATTAGAATTTATAGTCTTTTTTCAATAACCATAAGGTTTAAAATACAAAACATCAAAACCAATCTACAAAGATTTAAATAAATTTCCAGTAAACTTGTAATACTCGGTATTCTTAGTGGATAAGCCCCGCGGCCTGCGATCGTTGTTCTTAAGCAACTTTCGCAAGGATCGGTCACGGGATGGCTGATCAAAAATCATTATATCGAGCAACTCTTTGCTTCGGAAAGCATGTTGAACCGTCGGTCACGGCTACATCTGCAGTCATTAATACCCTCCCACACGCACTGGTCCAGCGTCGATGGTCATGGCCCATCCTCCTTAACCATCCATAAGGAAGACCTGAGCATCTAATGTGGGGACGTATAAGGGCCAATGATGAAACTTGCTTTACTCACAGCTGTTCAAACTCTTTCATATTCCATAGAGCAGACAGAGGTCTCCAACTAGTTGGCGTGGACGCTAACAATAACAACCCGTCTCTGCTTGCCTGAAAAAAAATATTAGTTACAAAAATTCTAATATGAAGACTATCTCCTAATGATCTACTATTTCTTATTTATTACAAATACGAACAAGATACGCCATACAAATTGAACTCGGACGGTCGATGCATCGCGTATTGTAGTAATTCTGAAGTCACATTTATAGTTTTTAATTAATTAGGGATAATAAATATGTGCTTAAAAATTATCAAATCTTTATTCCTTACTAGATGACCCGGTGTACTTCCTATCCACTGTCACCGTTTAAACATTCCCTGGACTTCGATAAATATTTCAAAATTTTAAAAATCGTGCCAGTATTTATGGAGCCTATTTGTTGCAAACAAACAAATAATCGATTTTATACTCTTGATGATATTAGTATAGATAAAGTATTACTGTAGATAGGGAAAATTCACAGTTTACTAATAGATTTTTTCGAAGATTTTTGGTTAATTCAGAAGCTCAACAAAAGTGCCAACGCGCTATTTATGATATCTATATAAGATAGCTATCTTTTTGGAAATAAATAATTAGTACAAGACGTTCAATATGGTACCCACATTGCTAACTTAAAGAATTTTATAAATGACGTCATACATCCGCCATATTGAATATTGAAAAAATATATATATAGTCATTGTCATTAGGGATAATGTTACGTTTCTAATGTTACCTGATACATTAATATCCGAAAAGCATTTCAAAATTTATGGTGGAATAAAGAAACTCAAATACCCACATTACATTAACCGTAAACACAACACACAATTTTTTTGAACAGTCGCGTAATTTTAGTCTAATATAAGCCTAAAGTCCAGGGGCGGATCGTGAATTTGTGGGGCCCTGAACTACTGATCAGGGACCTATTAATTACTAAAGTGAATGTAATTTTGTTATCTGTTTTCAAATACTATTTATTGGGGTAAGTATTATAGGTAAGGTAAGTATAATAAGTATTATATATTGTATTTATTGGGGGTCGAGGGCCCTTTGTATCCACGGGGCCCTGGGCTTAAGCCCGTTTAGCAATTAGGTAGATCCGCCTCTGCTAAGTCACATAACATACCTGCATATGACATATATATGACTCGTGCACTTGATATGAGCTCTCCTCTAGACCAGTGAACAGATTGAATATTCGTATGTCGCCTGAAGATGTCGCCGCTAACAGCTGATGTTGCGTCGGCTGTGGAGGTAACATTACATGTCAGTTAGGAGAAATAGACGGTTCAATGATAGCATTAAGAGTGTATTTCGTTGTTTTATTTTCGTTACAATAACGCTTCATATTATTATAAATAGATATTTAAATACTACACTTTGAAATTTGCTCATTCCAATATTTGTAGTTCAAAAAAAGGTTAAATATGTGTAAACGAAGCTCTGTTACACTTCATTCAATTATATGACGGCAGCACTTACACTATGGCCATTTTAGAAATTCACAATACATTAACGTGATTTTAAAGGAATTATTTTTACTCAGATAGTAAATAATATTTTGAAGCAATAGCTTATGTAATATTATATTTTCATAAAAAAAAAAGAACATACATGTAAGAAAATAATATATAACATATGATATGAATATAGATATAACGCCTGGGTAAAGAAAAGAAATACTATTTAGTCCGTCAGTTAGATAATATAATAATATTACAGACTTATTCTTTTTTTTTTTTTTTTGCTTTTATTTAATAAGAAATGACTTAGATATTATGCATTAAAGTGACACTACCTCACAACTACACAGAAAACGTACAAAGGAGTGACGTCATGGTACATTTCAATACATACTGTATACGAAAATATATATTTTTGTTTTTTTCTGGTAGTGTTTAATATGCAACTGCCGATAATCACACTTGTATGCTTGTTACATTTATAATATTGCTTAAATTAATTGTGAAAGAACAAAACTCAATACTCAATAAGAAAAAAACTTATTGAGTATTGAAAAAACAAATGTTTTATACTCGTTGTCACGTGACCGTAAACAACGCGTGACGTCACTCCCCTCTTATTCAATTCAGAACTTAGAGAATTCAACCTTACGCTTAACGATTCGCACTCGCGCATGAAGGTTTCCGTACCAGAAACGAGTAATCAAACTACAAATTTCACCTGTGCGCACCGGTGCGAAGTGCGAGTGCGCTAAACTCGCCTGTGCCCGTGCCCTAACTCCAATACTCACATGGAATATAGTGTGTGTGAAGTAAGCGTCGTCGTCTTGCGGCCTCAAAGTGCGCACCGGTGCGAAGTGCGAGTGCGCCAGTCTCGCTTGTGCTCGTTTGTACCCGCAGCCGTAGCCCAACTCCCTGCGGGCGACGCGTGCGCACACGCTGCTTACTGACCCGCAGCCGGGCACTGACCAGGAGTTACGCGGGTCGGGACACTTGTGAGGCCTGAACGTTACATTATTATTACTCACAACTACCCAGTGGTGGAAATTCGAACATAATAAATTTCAATGAGGAAGTATTAAAAAAAAAGCGATAGCACTAAAAAAGCACCTCCACTAGTTGGCGACTTTTGCAGCAAACGAATGGACTAAAGACATTCGTTTCTGTTCCTTTTAACTAACATATTAAAAAAATGAAATTTTAAAAGTTCGAAACTTAGATATCAATACAAATACGAAAAGGAAAAAAGAATATGAGTTGTTTATTGAGTTTTGAAAACTAATTTACTTTTAAACTTGAAAGAAAACCGGTAGGGTTGTCATGGAGAAATCAAGAACGTACCGTAGCGACATCTAGTTTGATATCGGGAACAATTTTTCTTTAATACTTCTTCATTAGAAATTATTTAACATAAATCTTTTGACATTCAATATGACCACAGTAAAAATCACAAACGTATAAATAGACTAAGGTAAACATATAAAACTTGACACTGGCTAAATATACAAACCGTGCGAAGCCAAAATTCAAAAGAAACAAATAAACTCTATGACAAAAGAAAGAATTTGACCACAGAGTTAAGTATGTATGCGTGTAAAAAATACTTGTTTGTGTGTGTCAAGTGCATAGTAGTGTGTGTGGAATGTTTTATTTATCGATTTAATGTACTTTATAAGCATTATTATTGACTACATATAAACTATAAATGTGCCCAATTTCATACTCCTCCGTCCTTGCAATTTTCGTAAAAAGGGGTTCAAAGTTTTTGCTTCACATTTTAATATATAGATATTTGATCAATTTCGCACTCAGAATGCTATACTGGAAAATATTGATGAAAACTGCTTTTTAGCATTTTTAATCAATCGTTTTCCTATAAAAATATATTTGAATGCTTTTTTAAAGCAAATAAACGATTATTATTATTAAAGCTGAAGAGTTTGTTTCAATGAAGAGCATCGGGTAATGTCACATTACAATGAACTAAACGTTAACATGTTTATTACAGGTGAAATAAATCTGAAAGTGATTTAATATCGTTTTAAAATATTTTTAGCTAATATAAAATTTAAAGCTGTTTCAAGCGCTATTTATTGACAATTATTATGGTAACTCACTCGAATAAGTTGAACTGTGGACAAGTGACGACTGGATTCTTGCATAGGGCGTGCTGATTGTACAAGTACTCGGTGATGATGCTGTGTAGAGTGATCTTGTGTTGAGCTGGCGCAGCCTCCGCGGCGACGCTTATCTGTTTCTGTAACGATCTCTTGTGTTCTGAAGCGGACGAGATCGGCGACGAGAGGGTCATCGATTGATTTTGAACTTTCCTGCAACGCAATAAGGGCTTCACATGCTATACGCCGGGATAAAGACGAAGGTAACCGAAGATGAAATTGTCTTTCACATCCTATACTATTAAACTTGAAGCCATTAATATCATGGGACCTGCCTTGGAGTGGTTCGAGACATATCTTCATAATAGAAAGCAGTGCGTTATTATCGATAACTTAAACGAAAATAATTAAGTTGTGTCATTCTCATCAATATATAAAAGCATAAAATACGGCGTACCCCAGGGCACTGTACTGGAACCAGTTCTGTTCTTATTATATATTAATGACATTATGCATTTAACATTAACAACAAACAACAATTAACATTTAACACCTTGCAATTAGGAAGTGTTTTTCATGACAGACTTAAGTTGAATAAATCTTTCTGCGTATTTATAAATACACGAATCAGTATTTTCCTAAGCGTAGTGTCTTTAAATATCTGCAAATATATATATTTATATGGAAATAGGACGTATCAAAGTAGAGTTCAATTTTGCGAATAAAATGGCACCAGGCACCAAATAACACATTTTTTAATATTTTGATCACTTGAAACCGTTTTGCAGAACAGCATCCAATTACATCCTTGTCATGATGTGCGGTGCTTCGACCACGCGGTCGAAGCCGCTAGAGAAAAGCTAGTTTTTTTTTTTATAAGCATGATGTTACGAATTCGTTCACCATAAGTATCACCGTTTTTAATTAAAATATTTCTGTAACTTGTAACAAAGAAAACAATAAATTGACAGCGAAATAGTTTTTCGATTTAAGAGACATGACTTTACTTACCTAAGTTTTATGACATGAGGAACCGGACTGCTCTCTTCCGGATGATGGCTCGAGTCCATACTGTCACGATGCAACGAGCCCGCGCTACTGGTCCGCGAAACGGACAGTCGCGGCTGAGAGAGCACAATATTATTGTATATAGTCACAGAATATGTACAACTCGTTCAAATTAACACGACGTCCTCGAACTATAACTCGGGAAATTTCGAAGCGTTCTGATATTATTTTTTTAATCACATCCGTTAAGATTATCTATGCAACAGAGGTAATATCAATGGCCTAATTGCCCAATTTTACATTTGAAAGATATTATTGAAGAACTTCACGCTGCAACTGTTTAACAAGTGATAGCAATGAGGAAGTATTAAAAAAAAATTATTTCCCGAAATCAAACTAGATGTCGCGACGGTACGTTCTTCATTTCTCCATGACAACCCTTCCGGTTTTCTTTCATGTTTATGAGTAAATTAGTTTTCAAAACTTAATAAACAACTCATATTCTATTTGTACAAATTTCAGTTTTTAAGTTAGTTCAAAGGAACGGAAATTACTGTCTTTAGTCCATTCTTTTCCTGCAAAAATCAACTTTTGCTAGAGTCGCCATCTAGTGGAGGTGCTTTTTAGTGCTTTCGTTTTTTTTTAATACTTCATCATTGCAACTTTTTTTCAAATATTTAATAAACGATAAGATTAATTTGACGTTAATCGGAATTGTTTAGTAAAGTAATAGTTCATTGTTTCTTCCAAAAGCGATAGTGCCTTTATAAGTTAACAATTAAAGTATGAAGGTAAAGTTTGAATATAAAGTGCCTATTATATTCAAGGCCAAGGTCAATCCCGGTAAATTCAATGTATGAACTGTGGCACGATCACGGTACGGGATTTTTTAATTTGCTATAGTAAAATGAACCAAAAATGTTTACGACATCTACAGGTCAATGTACGAAATTTGGTCGTTGTCAATCGTGTCGTCTCATTCGTTCGGCAACGGATAGAACGAGACACGATTGATTGAACATTTATATTATGAATCGGTTACAAATTACACGCAGAAATTGAAAGATAATTTGAGATATAAACAAATGTTAAAAACTTAGTTGCTTATAAATATTATAAAATTTAGATTACACACATTTAATAAAAAGGCCTTCCTTGATTGTCTCTTAAGTTATTAGTAGTAATTAAAAAGTTGTATTGTATGTAGCCAGTAATGGTTTCTTCGGCTTCGCCTTGACGTCGGTGATTGTACCGATGTTGGCACGATGCGTTAGATGTCGCCACATACTTGGGCGGGCGTGGACGGCAAGAAGACGGGCATCGGGGACGGGGCGTCTACGAGGCAGCGTGGTAGTGGGGCAGGGGAGTGAGCGGGGTGGGCGGTGGCGGGGGCGGACGCGCCTCGCTGTGCGGTGTTCTCACCCGGGCGGATGTGAAGAGAGTGTAGATGGGCGACGGGGGCGGGGGCGCCTCGCTGGGCGGTGTACTCACCCTGGCGGGCGTGGAGGGCGTGTAGACGGGCGGCGGGGGCGGGGGCGCCTGCGGGGCGGCGTGGTGGTGCGGCGGGGGCGGGGGCGGGGGCAGGCGCGCCTCGCTGTGGAGCGCGCGCGCCGACTCGGTGAGCCCGCGCGCCGCCAGGTGCTCCGCCACCAGTTGCAGCAGCTGACGCTCGTTGTAGTTTATACGGGTCTGCGCCACCACGTTCGCCTAACGGAGCATTCGTTTTCAATTATGTAATAGGCATGACGACTTATTTTTGTTTGTTTGTCCGTCAGGTAGAGTGTTAAACAATATTAAGGACGTATTTTTTTATTTTTTTCGTAATCATAAAATTACGTTGATATGGTAAGTTTTCTACTAAACTGTGACGTAGCGAGCCCCCACTCCTCAACTTTAATGCCTGTTATCTAAGCTATTTCTTGTTAAATTGAAGTAAAAAAAAATACGTATCTAGTATTTTTCTATTATCTAACTGACGGACTAAATAGAATTGCAGTTTTTTTACCCAGTCGTCATCCCTATTATCATATGATAATTATCATATTTCTAATGCTTAGAATTGGTTATAGGCCGATCTTATTTTATTATAGTCACATGCAATGCAGATTATTTAAGAGCAAACAGTCTATTTCCCAATTAAAAATAAATAATTCGATAATACTCAATACGCATATTGACTGTAGACAAAAGATAAAGAGTTTCGATTAATTGCGATACTGTCGACCATATATATCCACACAGAAATATTATCAAAGATCTGAACGAAAAAACAAATAATAACACAAAAATATTACTAATAGAATAGAAATACTACTAAATGGGTATATCTTAACCCAATGATTAATTTGAAATTACTTTTGAAATATTGTCGACTTCCAGATTTGAGTACAGATTTAAAGTACAAATAATCATCATCACCAGCCTATTAACATCCCCACTGGTGGGGCTCAGGCTTTGCCTATGAATAGAATCGAATCGAATAGGGGCCATGCATGACCTACTACGCAGGCCCAGTGCAAACTGCACCAACGGCTTAACGTGCCTTCCGAAGCACAGAGGAGTTCGAGTCAATCAATTTATGGTCACCCATCCTATGATCGACCACTGCGAAGGTTGCTTAACAATCGTACCGCAGACCGATCGCGCTAGCCGCTGCACCATCGAGCTCATCAAGTACAAATACAAATATAAAATACCTTATGGATATTAGCGAGCGACGTCTCAAACTCAGTGCCCATATGTTTACTTTTGCCCGACACCCGCTCTAGCAGTTCTAGCGCATACTTCTGAAACATCACGTGCTCCTGTCTCTTCTCTTGCAATATGGGATCCCGCATCAGAACTACAAATTAATCAAATCATTGTACATACAGCACCACATAACTGCATACTTTGCTGTTTAAGTAAAATGTTTAAAAAATACCAAAAACGTGTGTTAAAAATGGAATGCTATTGATACCTATTAAGAATTTATTATACAGATATATTTAGAAAATATATTATATAAATATAGCTTTTCACTAGCGGCTTGGCCCGCTTGGTTTTCCCGGTTTGCTACATTTTTCAGCGCTACTCCACTCCTATTAATCATAGAATTCGAATTCACACATATTTCCGAATTGACATTATTTAGTGTAGAAATTTCTATTGATTGCATATCTTGTATAAGAATATAAAAACAAAGTTTAATGATTACACAAGACTCAGATATTCTATCCCTAATGTAATTTCGAAACTCACTTCACTTATGCTACAAAACGTGAATAACACTTCAAAGTTAACGGATGTCACTTTCATGTGGCGGATTCATCGTGATTTTCGTGAGCAGTACTTCCTGAGATTAGAGTGTTTAAGCAAAATCAAGAACTGGCTGCATTTTGTGATCTCGATCGGCCCAATTCAACGATTCAAAATCAAAGTCAAAATAATCTATATTCAAATAGACTTCTTAAAAGTACTTTTGAATCGTCCAACATTTTTTCCCTACCACTCGTTTAGGACGTCTTTTGGCTGTTAAGAAGAACTAGCAAGAAACTCACCAGCTCTAATAAGAGTAATGTCATTTACAAAAACCATGTCATTGCCAGGTCAATACATTACAAATAGAGAGAGAGAGAAAAAAAACTATGGTCTTATAATGATAACATAATCATTTAATAATAATGGAAGCTAGATAATTTTTGATATATAATGAGTTATCCAGTTGCTGGATCATCTCAAGTCCAAACATTCTTATCTGTTATATAATCGGATACCTTAAAATAAGCTTTCTTAATAAGTATTTTTTTAATAGTAGATTTAAACTGCATGATATCAAATTGTTGTATTTTGCTTTGTACCTTATTGTAGAAGCGCACAGAAAATCCCTTAATAAAATTAACGACGAAGTTAAAGATTTGTTTTTTATTCGTTTTTAATCGATAAGCGAAACTAATTAGTGATGTTTTCTCAGTGACTCGGTCATAAATACCTTGCATCTGTGAGGTTGTGAACAGCGGCAGTTTAGATATGATCTGTCTAACGGTGGGGCACCTCGCGAGGCCGGCGAGCGCGCGGCAAGCCAACCCTCGGAGGCGATCCGCGTCAGTGATGGGGGCTTTCACCATCATCAACGATAGGAGCACCTTACACAAACATATATAATTTCACTACAATATTAATAGAAACGTAATTGAATCAGAAATTATATTGTATGAAGTCAAAATTTTCAATAAAGTTTAAAGATTATTTATATTTTTTAAATCAATAAACTAAAAAGTATTTTTTCAATATTTGTAATCTGTGTCTCGCGGAAAATGAAACACCAATCAGAGCGCGTGACGTCATTTGTGGGTAAATTCGTAGTAAAGCTATCTAGGAAAAACGCGGGAAACATTCAATGTGCGAAATAATCTTTACTTGATTTTTAACAGGTTACAAGGGTCAGTTTACTGTTTCATTTATTTATGAACTTAAATTGCAGACGATAATTCAATTTGTTCAACTTACGATTACGATACAGTATTAAAAAAAACTAAAAGTTTAGAAACTTGTCATTATAAGGTAATGATAAACATTTTCATTTTTTTATAATAAAATAACAGCGCCATCTATCCTTCCTTCCTGAAATATTCACTCACCATTATGCCGTTGTTAGTCCGCACACTCTCCCACACCTTCTGTATGACGTCCTCATATGACTTTAGCGCTGTCTTCTTTTTACTGGAGCCACTGAGCGAGAAGCGTGATGTCGACGATCCTGCCTGTGGTAGTAATATTTAAGAATGAACTTTAAAGCCGGATTTACAAAAGAAGTTGCACGAAACTACTTCCATTGCGTTAATTTTGCTAGCAGTTTCACGTATAACGCGTGCATTAGTTACAAGACACTAATGCCCGTTTTCACTAAACTTAGTCGCCCAAATGTGTTGACTAAATATTAAGGAATCGCCTAAGGTGTAAATACATTTCACCGACAACTAGGAGCCAACTAACGATATTAAGTAATGTCTAAACTTACGCTTTGCGCTAGGCATTTGCGTAATTCGAAAGATCACAAATGTGTCAAGGGATAAAAGAAAAAAATTATTGGAATTAAACTAATACTACTACTGCTTGGGTGATTCTTAACATTAGGCATTTCCTAGTTAAGCTATGCTTAATATTTTTTGTATTTGTTATTGTAGCGGCAACAGAAATACATCATCTGTGAAAATATTTCACTGTGTCACTTACACGGTTTATGAGATACAGCCTAATGACAGGCAAGCACAAAGCAAAGTCTTAGTAATAAAGTTCCCGTTTTACCCTTTGGGTACGGAACCCTAACAGGATGATACGATAGCATATTACAGCTACAGCTAGTTGCACAAAAGTACATTAAAATATTCATTAGTTTAAAGCGACATTATCCATACAAAATTGACATTAATTAGAGCTTAATGGTGTCATTAAACCTTAATGGACGTTTGAGCAACTGACCGTTAAAGTGAAAAATAATATTGATTTGACATGTTTAAAGCAGCCCCAACTGGAATGACTTATCAAGGAATTTCGTGGAGTGAATCAGCATTTGCAATTTTAAGTTCTCTGATGATCTCAAAGGTGCGAGAGTCCGATTCGCGAAGGAATTATATATTATAGTTTTTTTCACATAGCATGGGTACGGTGACGTATGGGATTGGACGTTTTAAGTGACGTGGTAATTAAATAATATGTATACAAAAACTCGATATTATTAAATTCATTTCTAATAGAGGTAAACGATTTTGAGGTCAACATATAAAACAAAATTTAAGAAAAACATTTATTCGTCGACTAGATAAACAGGAATAAAAAAAAATACAAAATTTTATTATAGTTACGTTTAAGTTTAAAACTTTACGTTACAGTTACATTAAAAAGATTTTATTAATTCAATCTCTTCGTTGTTGTTTTTTTAAAACATTCCATTTTTCATTACTGGTATTGATGTTTTAAACTTTACAGAGTAAGATTTCAGTAATTATGGCTACTAAAAGTTTGTGTTTTAATATGCAAATTTTAATAAATAATATATATAGTCAAACTATTGTTTATAACGATGGTGTTTTATAATTTCGAAATACAAATTGCGTGAAATGGATCTGCTAACAAACGCCACCGTACCCATGCTATGTGAAACGGACTTTAGGTGTACACACTGACTCTGTGCACGGGTGCGCAGACGCAGTTGACTAGTACGTTGAGGGCCGCCTTCTGCACCTCGGGCTCCGCCACTATCTCGCCGTCCGCAGCCCCTGTATATAACGTCAAACAAATAAACAATAGGGTACTCTACTCTGTTTGAAATAGTACTTGTAATCAGGGTTCGTTGATAAATATCAACGGGTATGTATCATGATATATATCGTTTGATATATACGTTGATTTATATATATATAAATATATAATTAATATTTAGGGCGCTTGTGCACTACATTGAATTTTCAGGACCGGCGGTCCGATTTTTTCCGGTCCGGAATGACATGAACAACTCGGATGAGTAGCTTGTGCACTTGTCCGTTTTTTTCCTGATCGGAGCGGCGCAGTGTAGGGCAGCTCTCTTTGAAGCTACACGTCACTTATGCTAGGTACGATGAGATTTTTGGAACGTTGGTAATTCCGTTCGAAGACGTAGAAAGGTACCTAAATAATGATCTGATCGTTTTACATAAACCATAATAAATTATGGCAAGACGAAAGCATTTTTTTTACTACTATCGGATGACTACTATCAGATGTAAAAACTTATACCCTTACTAATTTAGGAACAGCATTATTCACATACAATAGCTAAAAATATCTGACATTAGAATAAAATTACTGTACTCTAGTACTTGATGTTTAAATTTTTAAATGTGCTAGTTTTTTTCGAAGTTTTGTAAAAACAACTTTCAGCGATTACAGAGATAGACCAATCAGTGGCGCCATTTCGTAAACAAATCAAAATTAATGCCGTCTTAGCGGAGAATTATTATGCTAAATGAACTTTACGAGATCAGTTGACTGTATTATATATAGGCATAATTTTATACGCGTGGTGTAGTTTCTTTGAGCAGAAATATTATTCCCTTAGAATACTTTTTTTTTTTTAATTATTAATGGCACAAAAATACATTTAAAATTTTATTAAATGCGAAAAAGACATTGAGTGTCACTTAATTACTTTTGTTAATCTTCTGTTTATTCTTAATTATTACTTCTGTTGTCAAATATTTATCTATACTTATCAATTGTTTAAAAAAAATTTGATAATGACAAATTTCCAGGCAAACTTTCATCCCCTATTTTTCGCAATAAAATGTAGCCTAAATTAATATAGCAAATAGACTTAACTTTAAGAAAGGTCTTAAAGTTAAGTCGATTTACTATATTAATTTCCATTTAGATGGGTTCAGTTGTTTAGGCGTCTAAGCGTAACAACACTTATTTATCTTACCTTAAGCTATCGATACTTTTAATACGATTCTAAAATCTAGCTAAGTATCGATACTAGACCCATACGCTGATCAAATAAGAACTTTACCGAGTTTGCCAAAGCATATGCAGTGATATATACCAACTATATTGAATCATCATATAAAATATAGCATTTTATAATCAACAATAAATATCGATTATAAGTTTATTGGAAATTAACAATATTGCCGAAATAAATATCGATTCAAATCGATCATTTTTTCCCAAGCCTATTCCTTATGAATTTTCCGGATCTCGGACACAGTAGTGCACAAGCGTAAACACGTTTTTCATTGCCGCCATCACGGAACTGAAAAAACCGGTCCGGAATAGAGAAAAGTAAAATTCCGGACGGTAAAATTCCTGACAGTGCACAAGCGCGCATTACCTACATATGGCCTGACATATCGGACCTGAAAAAATCGGACCGCCGGACATGAAAATTCAGTGTAGTGCACAAGCGCCCTTACTGTTAGTTTAAGTATTTAGCATTGAGTATCAGCTAGAAAATTAACCAACCCGATTGGCTCGAAGTCATCCTAAAACAAAATTTCGGGTTTTACCCGTAATATGAAGGCGAAATGCGAACGGTTAGTTTTTTATTTGTTTTTATAATTTAATGCTTATGTTCACATAAAACTCAATCTTTATTTTAAACTTTTGATATAAAGAACAAATATTAACTGCTGCACCACTGGTAGCTTAATAATCGCTTTTCATATACATGATATATATCTAATATATATCGGATATACATTATAAACTTGAGCACTGACGACAAAGACGTTGACATGTAGTCTATTGAAATGTGACGTCACACGATGTTCCGTCATGGCCACCCGCTTTTCGTTTGTTAGGTATAATCCACAGAACATAAATAGCAAGTTTATAGTGCAAAAGTAGAAAAAAATCACTATTTATTTTAAAATAAAAAATACTACGTAGTGACTATTTTCAACATATTTCATGTTATTGTTATAACTATCAAGTAGCAAATTAACATTCAGAGTTATCCTCGTCAAATGTACAATAATGACAATTCAGAAGTACATTGGCGCGAAACCGATCAAACGTCAAAGTCAAAAGTGACAGTGACAGCTAACTGACATATAAGGATGCCCGTAGTGAAATTAACAACGAGTGCTGCAAGTACTGGTCGATCTTTTTCCCCCTCTAACAGTTCGAAACCCAAAAAATACTTGATCTACTCACCCAGTACAATGTTAACACCAGTGGTCAACTCAGCGTCCCTCATGTCCACTTTCTCAGTGAGTAATAGTTGGACTCGCGGCGCCACGCAACATATCGATATCACGTCCAACGCAGACTTCACGGTTTCCGATCTACAACAAACACATTTAATTATAAAACAAAGTCGCTTCCCGCTGTCTGTAAGCTGAGATCCTAAACTACATGACATATATGTCATCATCATCAGCCAGCTCAGGCGTTCCTTATGGGTAGTTAAGGAGGAATGGCCATAACCCTCCAAGCAGGCCCAATGTGCCGGCTAAACGTGCCTCCCGAATCACGGAGTAGCTCGAGATAATAATTTTTTGGTCACCCATCCCGTGATTGACCCTTACGAAAGTAGCTCAACAACAACGTTCTTTATCAACTAAGCTTCCAAGCTACTCTTAAACTACATTTTAATGCGGATTTCGTCTATATACAAAGTGATACAAGAGGAAGATTTATATGTATATTGTACCACGCGGGCGAAGACGCTGACGGAAAGCTAGTAATTAATAAATATTAGAAGACATCATAAACTCCAGTACGGATCAACATGACACCTGAAGAGCGTTTTCTGAATTTCGTCTATTTTCGTAATGCTAATACGACTCCAAAGAAATGCAATTTTCTATAATTTATGATATAACACAGGTAAGATCAGGCACTGAGTCTTATTAATACACAGATAATATTCATACATGTGATTCCAATAAAATTACATGGATTCCAAATTTTCGTTTGAGGACAAAAGGTAAGATGACTAAATTTGTTCCGTCTGTCCACCATTTAATAATATTAAAATTTCTGCATAATCAATAAATACTTTTGTACATTTCCTACAAAGTATTGTAGTATAGTATTGAGCCCCCACTCCTCAACTTAAATGCCTTTTATCTAAGCTATTTCTCGTTAATTTCGAGCAAATGTAAACATTTCCAATATTTCTCTATCATCTGATTGACGGACAAAATAGTTTTTTTTTTTTTTTTATATACTGTTAATATGACGATGTGTGTACAAGAAACTAGTCACTAGTTTGACAGAACTAGTGAATTGAAGGTCACTTAGCTGCGGTGTGATGATAGTAGTTTGTAGCAAAATAAATCCTTGTTCTTATTTGTAGTCAAATCGTATCTATCTTCGATATTTAGCGATATAAAGCGAGGAATCCTTCCAACAATGGCCTCGTGACGCTGATAGCTCTATATTATGATAGATAGTATGCTATAGAATCATCAAAAAGTGTCCTGTCTATGTCACCAGTTTTTATGCCTCTTCTTTGGACATAAATGAAACTTCGTTATGAGGCTAAGGGCCGATTTCACCAGTTGCTGATAAAGTCCCTGATAGTCTATTAGGAACTTATCTGCCAGATAAACTACAACTTTTGATTTCACAGGTCTCGGATAACAATATCTGGCAGATAAAGTATTAGATATGTTATCAGCCGCTTCAAGTGGCTGATATAGACGTTATCTGATAGATAAATAAAGTTTCAAGTGACGGGAACGAAAATAGTTTTAGTTTTAGACCATTATTGTGTGCTTTGCGTCGATTGCAGTCATAAGTGTCACAAATATTCTAAAATGGTTTTATTTGTGTTTTTAGAAGACGAATTAGATGAATATTTCGAACGTATTACGCGACCCCGTAGGAATCGAGTAATTAACCCTAGACCTAATTATTTAGAATCACTTGACGATCAAGATTTTAGGAATCGATTTCGGCTTACCAAGCGGGCTGTTATTTATATTCTATCGTTAATAGAAAGTGATATAAAAACTACAACGTAAAAAATACTAAGTAAAAAATCTCCGTTAACTAATAAATAAAGAAGCTCCGTTTCTTCTTGATTAAAATTCACACTTCTTTCACGTTTTTGTTTTTCCATTATTAATTAACAAATACGAAAAGAATACACAAAGAAAAGTTTAAAAACTGAAAAGCGTCTTAAGCACAAAATATCAACAAAGCAAACCAAATGACATTTGCGTTTCGTTTCTGTAAACACGTAGCTAAGAATACGAATATCGTATTATTTTCCTTCTAGAATCATAAAATTATAATTTAAAATAAATGAATAAAGTTTACTTAAATAATATTGAACACAAAAAAAAATATTAATTAAGTTTTAAAAATGATTTTTGATTGACGATAATTTGGGTTGTAGTATTCAAACGCAAAAAAGCGACGTTGCCGTTCCGTCAACTAATAAGTGGCCGATAACTTATCTGCCAGATAAATTATCTAGCAGTTTGATGGTGAAACAGAAAAAAGTTAACAGCAACCTTTATCCAGTAGATAGCGTTAAATATCAGATAACTATCTGAAACTTTATCAGTAACCGGTGAAACTGGCCCTAAAGCTTGTATTTCATTGAATTACATTAAAAAACATTATAAAGAGACTGAGCTAATTCATAGCCCATACTCGAACAGACTTAAGAGTAAAAAAAAAAAACTGAAGGGGCGCTTATAAATATGAATCTGCTGATGAGCCAAAGTTATTGCTGCAAAAGAATGCGTATGCGCAAACATCTACTATACCTGCCGTTGAAGTTCCACTCGTAAGCGAAGCCGACAACTTGCAGTAGAAGCGTGATGCCGCCTAGTTCAACTAGTTCGTCCACGGGCGACCATCTGGACCACGCCACGCTGGCTAGTAACTCTATCTGCTCCTGAATCTCTTCCGGCGACGACTTCGATGCCTGGTGGTGGATTAAGACAATGTAAAAAAGAAACTAAAATTAAAGGGAACAAGTTCGTTGGTTGGAGAGGGGGCGCCAAAATCATCATTATATAATACTTACAGTTAAAAAAAAATAACGAGCTTTACAAATCTTACATAGGTTACGATGGGACGCATATACTTCAAAATCCTTAATAGGAATAATGACGGGGTAAAAAAAGTAATTCTATTTAATCCGTCAGTCTAATAGAAAAATGTTAGATATGCAATTTGTTTGCTTAATTTTAAACAAGAAATGGCTTATATAATACTAGCTTTCCGTCAGCGGCTTCGCCCGCGTGGTCTTGTATTATACATAAAAACCTTCCTTTTGAATCGCCCTATCTATGAAAAAAAACCGCATCAAAATTCGTTGCGTAGTTTAGAGATTTAAGCATACATAGGAATATAGGGACAGAATAAGCGACTGTATTTTACACTATGTAGTGATAGTGAAGCTTTAAAGTTGAGTAGTGAGGGGGAGAAAATGTACAAAAGCGTGACGTCATGCGATATTTCAACTCAATGTATCTCCACAATGGGGATAACGACTAATTTTTGTTGTTTGTCCTTCAGGTAGATTAAACATGTATTTAATAATTTTTCGTAATTATTAAATTATGGCGATACATTAAGTTCACACATGACGTCACACTATGGTACATTTTTTACAAAACTGTGACGTAGCCAGCCCCCACTCCTCAACTTTAACGCCTATTATATAAGCTATTTCTTATTTAAAATACAAAAATTTTAAACATGGTAAATCAGAAAATAAAGTTAATTTAAAAAGATATGACAGTATTTTAAAAAGATGTATTTTGTGTGCACAAAAAATTTATAACAATAGATATATACGAAATAATAAAAATAAATGTAAAGCTACCTGGAATACAATATCATCAATGACTTCTAATAATATATATAATTACGACATTAATTCCATTTCTTATGACAATAAAATATACAATAATCCTTTTGACATTAGCAATATTTTCAATAATTATTTTATAAATTTGACTAAAAACAATGACTCTGCAAATATTACGACATCTCGATCAATTATTGAAAATACGAATTCTTCTACAATGTTTCTAAGACCTGTGGATGTAAATGAAACTTATAAAATTATCCTTTCTTTGAATAATAGTAAGTCAAATGGTTACGATGGTATTACTACACATATTATTAAATCGTGTGCTTCTTTTATATGCCATCCTATGACTCATCTTATAAATTTGTCATTTAGTGAGGGGAAGTTTCCAGAGCAACTAAAAATCAGTATTGTGAAGCCCTTATTTAAGAAAGGCAATAAACTGGATCCAAATAACTATAGACCTATAACTTTAGTACCAATCATGTCTAAAATCTTCGAAAGAGCTATGCATTCTAGGCTGTTGAGTTTTCTTGAAAAACACCATACCTTACATTCAGATCAATATGGTTTTCGTAAGGGTCGCTCAACTTCTTTGGCATGTTTTGAATTTATGCGTCACATAACTGAAAGCCTCAATAACAAAACTCCTGTTGTATCTTTGTGCCTAGATATGAGCAAAGCTTTTGATTTCGTAAGTCACTCTAAACTTTTGCACAAGCTATGCAATTGTGGTGTTAGAGGTAATGCTCTTGAATGGATAAGATGTTTCTTAAACAACAGATTACAGGCTACCGAGGTGAGTAAAATTGTAAAGAAATATAATATACATATAAAACAGTCATATCAATCTGATTTCAGAATAAATAATACCGGTGTTCCTCAAGGAAGTATACTTGGGCCACTACTTTTTCTGGTATACGTAAACGATTTGCCGCGTAGCACAAACAATAAATGCATAATGTTCTCAGATGACACAACAATTGTTATTAAATGTGATAATACTAATAGTGACACATTTGAATGTAAAATAACCCCAGCACTATCAGACGTTACTAAATGGTTGGATTCAAATGATTTAAAGTTGAATATAGGTAAAACACGCTTAATTCAGTTTAGATCATACAATTCAAACCCTATTCATTTAAAAATTAATTTCGGAAATGACGTAATAGAAGAAGTAGATTCAATACGTTTTCTTGGAATCATTATTGACAAACATCTTAATTGGAAGCAGCATATTGACCATGTATGTGGAAAACTTAACCGGTTTGTATTCGCCATAAAGAAACTGAAACAAACAGTTTCTGTTGAAGCTGCCTTAACAGCATATCATGGTTATGTGTCGTCGGTTTTAAGCTACGGCCTGATACTTTGGGGAGCCTCTGTAGATCTAAACAGAGTTTTTAAAATTCAAAAGAAGTGTGTTCGTGTTATGTGTAATGCTTGGTTCGATGATAGCTGTAAGCCACTTTTCAAAAAGCTTAATATTTTGCCTCTACCTTGTATGTACATAAAAGATATCTGTGTATTTGTTCACTCTCATTCCAATTACTGGAGTAAACGTGTGGACATTATTCCGAGACAAACAAGACGAAAATATAGAAACCTGTTGTATCAGCCTCCTTGTCTTAAAACATCTATAAAAACAATATTTACAATATGTGCAGAATTTTATATAACAATTTGCCAGATGACATGAAACTGTTAAACATGAATCAATTTAAATTAAAACTGACAAAGTGGCTTCTAGAACACTGCTTTTATAGCGTTAGACTTTTTAGCTTTAAAAAAATCCATGACATAATGATAATATATAATAATAATTTGTAATTTTATGAGATGTTTGATATATAATATGATAATAAAAAATGTAATAAGTTAATAATATAATAACAATATTTGCACGCCTGTCCGCAGGCAGAATACTGTACTTGTCTGATTATTTGTGACCTCAATGACTTGTGTTCTGGCAAATAAAGATCTTATCTTATCTTATTTATCTTGAAGTAAAAAAAAGCGTATCAAATATTTTTCTATTATGTGACACACTGGATAAAATTTTTGAATACGAAATCAGTTTTGAATTATTAAAGGCGATTCTTTAAAAATGTATAGCTTGGCTTGACAAAATGCTCATTGCAGTTAAGGGAATGTTCTGTGGAACATTTGTAATCTAAAAGATCATTGTATCCCTTATAACAAGGAGTTAATTACGCGTACGGATTATATATTTTTGACCTTTGCTACCGATATTGCTATAACAAATTAATTTTTTGTCATGAAAATCGGATTAGATTTTTTTAAATAAGTATTGAATTAATATAATCCTTTCAATAGGAACAAATATGTTTGGCAATCATTTGACAATTATTGCTGTCGTAATATTATTGTATAATTATCGTATAATAGTGGTTGTGTGTGTGTGTGTGTGTGTGTGTGTGAGTGTGTGTGTGTGTGTGTGTGTATACTGGCTGTAAATATCAACTTGTTAACTTTATTAGTATAGTTGTTACCTTGTAAGGAGGTGGTTCAGGCACCGTGTCGCCTTGTTGTCTCGCCACCTGCGCCGCTCTTAACCTCAAATGCGCTTCTAAATACCTGACAAACGATAAAAACATAACAAACTTAACGCTTAAGGTAAAAATGAATATAACCAATGACTAGGAACCACCTAACGAAATTAAGCAATGCCTTGCGGTAGGCATTTGCGCATATGACTGGTCATAAATATGTCAAGGGATAAATATTTATTTGCAATTAAACTAATCAACTTAGGTGATTCCTAATATTAGGCAATTCCTAGTTAAGCTATGCAGCTTATTAGGCATTTCCTAATATTAGAAATCACCTAAGTTGATTAGTTTAAATGCAAATAAATATTTTTTGTTTCTTGTTCTAGGTTAGTGAAAACGGGCATAAGTGTTTTTATTAATACTAAAATAATAATGTGAATCGATAACTAAATGTTTTTATAGTATTTTATTTCATTTGTTAGTTTTTATCTTTGCCGTAAATATACTTGACAGGCCTAGTCAGACTATTCATTTAACTACAAACACCTAAGCTAGCCCATAACCATCACAAAGGGGTCGAAATAGGGGGAGGGGTGGGGGTAATATTCTGGTGTGATATAACATACCTCCTGAGTGCTACACACACGTGTCTCACAATCTGTCTGGCGGCGCAGGTCTCGTCATCTGATACCCTCATCTCCTCATCGTCAGATCCCAGTATGGGCAGTGTAGATATCACGTTATACAATTTACGGAGACCATCCTAGAACAACAAAACTCTTGTCATCAAGTCTCGAGTGAACACATAACCTGTAATGGGTCCGAGACGTCACGGAATCAAATTTAAAAACGCTACACCCGATCTAATTGTTTTATTACCCAAAATTTTACTTAACAAGCTTAGAAGAAACCGAATAAGTACGAGTCAGATTATCACACAAAGGTTCCGTAATATATCCTATGGAAAAACGTAAAAAAAAACATGTATGTTGCATGGAAGCTTAAATATTTATTCTGTTTTTTGATATTTTTTAATAACGCGTATAGAATTAGATCGGTGGCGTAGTGGATAAGCGCCGCGGCACACGATCGTTGTCGTTAAGCAACTTTCGCAAGGGTCGGTCACGGGATGGGTGACCAAAAAAATATTTTCTCGAGCTACTCCGTGCTAGCCGTTGGTCCCGGCTGCATTTGTAGTCGTTAATACACGCCAATCCGCATTGGGCCAGCGTGGAGGGTCATGGCCCATGCTCCTTAACCAACTATAAAAAGGCCTCAGCCCCTGCAGTGGTGACGAAATTAAGGGCTGATGATGATTATGATGATGATGATGGTGATGATGATATAAATACATCAACTGTGAAAATTTCAACTGTCTAGCTACCACTGTTCACGAGATACCGTCTAGTGAAGACAGCGGAGTCGTAGTAATAGAATCCCGTTGAACCCTTTGAGTATGGAATCATAAATCATTATAATTACAAGCCCATTAACAACCCCAAAACTAGGGCACACTTTCCCTAAGGATGAAATTGAATAGGAATAGGTCATGACCAAACACGTACCCTGTGAGGAATGGTTGGTGTTAACGATCACAGATACGAACGGGACAAACGGCTCAAAAGGCCTCCCAAAGCACATAGGAGCTCGAAATAATTTAAGTTTGGTCACCCATCGCATCGCAGACCCAACGAAATGTTTGTATGTTTGCATCGAATAGACTCCCGAATCTACTAGACAGATTTTTAAAATCCTTTCACCTATAGGAAGCTACATCATACACGAATGATTACAGGCTATAATTTACGCACGCGAAGTCGCGGGAAAACTGCTAGTTGTTAAATAAATATTTAGTCACCTGATTATCAAACTCTTCTAATATAACTCTGAACTGGAAGGAGAGGCCGAAGAACATGGTCGCGTGACATCGGCCCGAGTCGTGAGAACATTCTAGAAGCCACAGCGCATATCTGGAAATAAACATTTATTTTATTAATTTTATAGGCATACAGTCTTATTATAAAATTCTAATTATTCGTTTGCTATGAATAAGGTCCATTACATTACATATCTTAATAGGGGTGTAGACAGCTTTTTTATATATTTTTCTTTTATAGATATATTAAAAAAAAAAAATTTAAATAAATATCATTCATATAATAAGTTAAAATCTAAAATTAAATTAAATTCTCAAAATTTCCCGTGAATACGCCATTTCTGTCATGGCGCCGCTATGACGTCACGGCACTCTGAATCGTTCAATGTATGCACAAGGTTGATTTCTCTAAGTTCTGATATGAGAAAGAGAGGCGTGACGTCACGCGCTGTTTGCGGTCACGTGACAACGAACATAAAATATTTGTTTTTTTATAAGTAAATTTAAGCAATATTATAAGCATAAAAGTGTGATTATTGGTAATTTACATTATTATTGCATAAACACTACCCGAAAAAAAAATGAGTTTACTGTCTACACCCGTATTAGATAGGTATAGTCCAACTTATTCAGCCACAAGAGTAGAATGCAAAATATATTTAATTTCTAACATTAACAACTTAACAATCTATACTTTCTCAATTATAATGTCAATATTATCATTTAATATATAACAATCTTTTAAAATTCATACACATTAGGCCTACGATGGGACGAATCCAAAGTAATAAAATACCGCAAGGGATTTTGTACTCTAATCACAATTTATTAAGGTTTTAAAACAAGTGGAGTAATTTGTCAGTTTTGTACTGTCTCACTTGCTATTGATTGTACGTTAAACTAATTAGTCTCGGCAGCATTTCGTTAACATTCGCAACCACCACCACGCGGACCGAGTGCGGATTAGTAAGCGCTAACGTCAGCAGATACAACATAAAGCTCGAGATAAAAATAAATTTGGTCACCCATCCTGCGACTGACATTTGCGAAAGTTACTTAACCGAGAATGAATTATGTGTAATAGTTACTTGACGAGATCAGCTAGAGTGCGTCGCGGCAGTAAGCAGACCCGCTCCATAGCGTCCTCGCAGTACGCCAAGTAATAGAGACAGATAGATACACCTGTCGCGGCCACCGACGGCCTTGGTACTTCTAGAAATTTCTAAAACAAACGATATGTTGTGTTTCAAAATTTACTTCACACTTTCACTATAATCTTCGTATTCGAATCGAAGGTTTTTAAATATAATGTACAAGCTACGCTTAATTGTACAAGTCGGACGAATGAGGAAGTACTAAAAAAAAGCACCTCCACTAGATGGCGACTCTAGCAAAAGTTGATTTTTGCAGGAAACGAATGGACCAAAAACATTTCCGTTCCTATTAAGTAACATATTAAAAAACTGAAATTTGAAAAGTTCGAAACTTAGATATCAATACAAATACGAAAAAGTACAAATAAAATACGAGTTGTTTATTGAGTTTTGAAAACTAATTTACCTTTAAACGTTAAAAAAACCGGAAAGGTTGTCATGGAGAAATCAAGAAAGTACCGTAACGACATCTAGTTAGATTTGTGGCAGTGGGAACTAATGATTTTTTTTTAATACTCCCTCATTACCATGACGCCAGAGGGACTATTCTATGTGTCCCCCAAAATGAACTCAGTAAGTATCGAATAGTTTTGATAATTTTAATCATATCCATGAAGATTATATTTGCATCAGAGGCAGTTTCAAGTCCTATCTCCGTTGGATTATAAATTATTGAAAAATGAATTTCTTTGGAGTCATATTAGCGTTTCGAAAATAAACGAAACTTCGTTCTCGGAAAAACAGAATAGCTTTTAGCTAAAATACAAACATGATTTTAGCTAATTACAGCGTGCAAAAAAGTTATTGCTTTTAAAATATTTTATAAAAAAAAAACCTAATATAATATAATATTTTTTTAAGAAAAACTCAGTAATTAACAAAAAACGTATCAAAAATCCATTAACAATAAGACATCATCATCAGCCCTTTTACGTCCCCACTGCAGGGGCTCAGGCCTTCCTTATGGATGGCTAAGGAGTATGGGCCATGACCCTATGCGGATTGGAGGGTATTGACGACTGCAAATGCAGCCGAGACCAACGGCTTAACGTGCCTTCCGAAGCACGGAGTAGCTCGAGATAATTTTTTTGATCACCCATCCCGTGACCGACCCTTGCGAAAGTTGCTTAACGACAACGACCGCGGGCCGCAACGCTTATCCACTACGCCACCGAGCTACTTATTTTTTTAACAATAACACACAGCAAGATAATAAAAATATAATTTCGAAAGTACAAACACATGTAACAGTAATACGCTAGTGACCTCCCAGTGCGACGGACGGAGTAGCGCGGGCGGGGAATATTGAGTTCTAGCCAGGTGTCATGTTAATTCATCCGAGTCTTAGTACTATTATATAGAATATATGTCTAAAACATGATATAATTTATATGTTCCCTTTAATTTTGTTAACGCTACAATTTATTATATATTTTTTTGCTTTCTTCTGCCTACAAGTACACTTAAACTACTGAAAAGTAGATTATATATTTTCCATGGCAAATATGAAATAGTATAAATCAATGGTCAACTGCAAAAAGTTGAATTTACAAGACTTGACCTCATTTACGTTACCTCCGCTACCAAGTAGCATCTCATTCTAAGTGAAATTACTTCAGTGTTGAACTCCGTATGCTGATATTATTATTATTTTTTTAAATTAAAACATGCTTTATAGACACAAGTCATTAAAAACTAAACAATTTTTGGAAAAAATCAGTTAACTATATCAAACCGGTTTAAGAGCTGTCGAAATATTTAATTCAACCAATTCAACGACTACAAAATAGTCAACTGTTTACTTACAATATTATAGTTCTAACGTTAAGTAATAATATGATAGTTTCTCACCTGCAAGCCACCCATGTTGATGAAGTCTATAGAGAACTTCTTGTGGCACAAAAGCGCCGCTAGATATTTGAGAGCTTCGAAAGCGAGCCGGGAGTCGCGCGACTCGCGCACGTTCAAGTAGCCCAATATTAAACCCAACGCGTTCTGTTCGAAAACGTGCGATAGAAACTGCAACAAAACGTACTGTTAGGGTATTCTACTCTGTTTGAAATAATACTCATGAGAGTTTATTTTTATTTAAAAAAATAAGCAAATATTTCGGGAAAAATAAACACGTCACCTTGCCTTTAATTTAAATAAAAATTAAAAATATATATCAGTGAAAAAAATTTAATATTCATGACGTCATTTCGATATGTACACAAAACAGATGCATAGAGTAGTAGATTCAAAGATGTCAATAAAATAAGAACAGTGCCATCGTTCGACTACGTAATAAAAAGATATAAAAATAAGCTAAGAACAGCGCCATCTAGGAATTTGATTTAAAATAAATAAGGCATACGTTTGTGGTTAATCCGACAGCTGTCACTGGAGCGACTTCACACAATGGCGGGTGATGTTTCAAGTCACGTGACGTGACATATATACAAAAATTCTCGAATTTTAAGATAATCATGCAATTTTAACACGGTAAATCAGCTACACTGAGGGACACAGAAACTTAATAATTGACCACTTATATATGTTCGAAATAACAATGTAATAGTTTTGTTTTAAAATAAATCTTGAGTATAATTTATTTTTGCCGTGACAGGAAATCGTGTGACGTCACATTTTAAACTAAACGTCAATATCTTTGTTGTAAGTGCAACCTGTGCTCATATTCATTTAAATGTGAGGTCACGGCTTGAAATATCACATGATTATTTTCGCTAGACACCCTCACTATATATATATATATTTTAAATCGTATTTAATTAAGCCAAAATAAAACAATACTAAAAACTATGTATAAAACACGATTTATGTCGTACTTGAATCGGTTCAAGTTCAAACGATAATATTATCACCCTGTAGCAAACTTAACATAAGACTCACCTCCTGATATTCCCCCATAGGTGTCAGGTACCGCAATATTAGCATCTGTTTAGTCGCATCCGTTGGCGGGTGGATTTGAATATTTCCTGTCAAATAATATAGAAACTATAATCTAAATCTTGAACGTAAGGACATAATTAATATCTCTCTTGAACCTGATACTTGTAATATCATCAAAATAGCTACGTAATTTAATCAAAATAACCTATCAACCTAAAAAATTTGTTAGTCGACGAATTAACATGAATTAAGTGAATCGGTTCCTTCTAGGCAAGCACGCTCCATCTTAGACCACTGCGTTGCTTACCATCAGGTGATCTGTGGTCAAGTGCTTGCCTATCTAGCATGAAAAAAAACCTGATGTCCTATTCTATTTGTCCTAGAACGAATATTCGGATCATTCTTATAATTTTGTTAAAATTATACCCATGAAATTTACCCGAGGCGGTGTCAGGTCTTACGTCCGTTGCATCATAAATGTGTTTATTTGTAAACGGTACTGACTGATGAACGCAATTACGTCACCAAAATGGCGGCGCATTAGCAACTCGCGGAGATTATAGTATGCCTCACCTATGACGTAGGTCTCCATCTCTGCCCAGCTGGAGTTGGAGGAGGTCTCGTGCGGGGGCGGGGGCGCGGGCGCGGGCAGCGGCGGGGGCGGGGGCGGGGACATCATCCCCCACTGCTCTGGGGACATGTCCCCGCAATCTGTCACACGACCATCAAGAGAAATTGAATTGGCTACATGATAGTTATAATAATAAGGGCCTGTTTCACCACTCGCTGATAAAGTTCCATATAACGCTATCTGACTTTAAAAAGTTAATAATATTATTCATCAGATAGTTCTATCTGAGGCTTGTGAAAGCAAAATTTGCAAATTATCTGATAGATAAGTTTCTGATAGATTATCAGAGACTTTATCTGCAAGTGTTGAAATTGCCCCTAAACTATACTAACATTATACAACGTGTCCCAAAATTCAACGATAAGCGGGCGCCAAGAGGTACCCTTGCTCATGTGTACTTATGGAAAAATAAGAAAAAAATTATATCTTATTAATCTTTTTTATTATAAAATTAAATTCGAAAATTTTCGAAAGAGTTGTAGCGAATAGTAGTGCTACTTAGGTATCCGATACCAAAAAAAGATTGAACATAATTGAGAAGTTATGGTCGTGGTAGTTGAAAATATCATAAAAGGTGTAAATTTTCGAAGATTTTCGAATTTAATTTTATAATAAAAAAGATAAGATATAATTTTTTTCTTATTTTTCCATAAGTACACATGAGCAGGTCTACCTCTTGGCGCCCGCTTATCGTTGAATTTTGGGACACGTTGTATATTAATAAACAAGGTTTAGCGTCGGAGTAAAATAACGATAAAATTTCAATTTTAGTATTAGTCCAAATTCATATTATATAGAGAATAAGCAAACCCACTACCTTCTAGGAGTACATTTTACTCCCGTAGAACCTCGTACTAGGTTAACCTTTCTAAGTTTTCTTTTAATAATATGATTTTTTACTAATACTAAGTGCAGTCTCAGCGTAAATTTACTCTAACGCTAAACCTTGTTTATTAATAATACTGATAAAGAAGAAATATTTGAATATATGTTTTGTTTGTATCAAATAGGCTCCGAAACTACTTGACAAATTTTAGAAATTATTCATTTAAATACATCATATGGTGTCCATATGGCTATAATATAACGTACGAAGTCGTGGGACAACAGCTAGTTATGAAACGTGTTGAAAATGGTATATATATATAACTTTTGTAAATAATAATTATGTAGTGTTATTTGCCATAAAATAAAATTGTAAGTATATTTCATTTTTTGCTTGCCATTTATAATCTGTAGATCACGAGGACCTGGCCAAGTCAAGAATTGAGGCATATCGTGATATGCCCGGGCAGATCTCGATTGGCCCAATTCAACGATTGACCCACGACATTATAATATATATATATACAGATGAATTAACACTCTTGTTTTTGTTTTAACGACGGTTAAAATGTAGTGATTGTCAATGCCACACATACTCACAATTGGAATAATTCTTCACCGGGGTCTCGGGATCATTGCTCAGTTGCGGCGCCGTTACGTCTATTACCGTGTCCCCGCCCCCTCCACCGTCATCTTTTTCACGTTCTAACAAAATTAATCATAAAATCATCATCAGCCCTTCTACGTCCTCACTACAGGAGCTCAGGCCTTCCTTATGGATGGTTAAGGAGGATGGGCTATGACCCTCCACGCTGGCCCAATGCGGTTTGAAGAGTTTTAACAACTGCATAATGCAGCCGAGACCAACGGCTTAACGTGCCTTCCAAAGTACGAAGTAGCTCGAGATAATATTTTTTCTTTTGTCCCCCATCCCGTGACCGCGGCGCTTATCCTCTACGCCACCGAGCTATAGGAGCTCAGGCCTTCCTTATGATGGTTAAGGAGGATGGGCCATCACCCTTCACGCTGGCCCAATGCGGATTGGTGAGTGCAGAAGCATCCGGGACCAACGGCTTAATGAGGCCTTCCAAAGCATGAAGAAGTTCGAGATAACAAATTTTTGGTCACCCATCTTATGACCGACCATTGGCGTAAGTTGCTTGACAACCGTATCGCAGACCAAGCGCGCTAATCACTGCACAATCGATTTCCTTGTTTTTTAAATACATGTCTATCTATCTATATCTTCACGCCGTATCCCTTACGCAGCAGGCAGGGAGGACCGACCGCCACAATGTACTATACAAACATACATCTTTCGTCTTATCCATATTCATAACTCTTTTCATACATACTAGCCGGTTTATAAGACTTTTGAAATCGCCTAACAGCAAGCAAAATATTTAAATTGGCTCCTGAACAATAAATGTGGTTTTCCGCTCGTTTCCAGTAAGGGATCCTTCTGTTTTATTTTCATAGTGTTACTGTACCTTTCTTATTTGTCGCTGGTTCGTTTATCTTGACATCATTGTTCCTCTTGTCGAATCTAGCAAAATGTCTCGTTTGACTTGGCGGCGTCACTACACTGTTGCTAACCTGCTGCAACATCGATATAAGGCATTAAGAATATTTTACAATATAGCATTGTGAATACAAAATTTATCAAATATAATAATTAAAAAATATGTTTATCATCCAAGTACTACATTTAAAATGGAGCATACTGTCTTGTTAGAGGTTAGATATCAACCACAAAAGAGTTTTGTCTGTTTAGCCTCTAACAATCATAGATTTTTTTTAACAATCACATAAACGCATAAATGACGGAGATATTACAAATATTGACCAGACACCAATTAGTTTTTTTTGCTTTTCCAGCGGCAGTTGCTCAATATCTCGGAAACTATTCATCGCAAACATGCTGTTACTTCTGTTCTCAGATAGTAATAGACTATCAATATATTAAATAAAAAATTTAGTAATCTCTCGCTTTAGGCAGGTGATAAATTTATATCTAGGCATTTTTGAGTCTAATATATTATATTCTCAATATATTTTTGCCCTCACCTTATCCTCCTGATTCTTATTCCTCAATTCGTGTAGCCTCTTTAGCATTCGCGGCACCAGCATAGCGTTCAAATCTCTGGAAAAACAAATCTATTAAGAATCGTCATCATTACCCTATATATACTAGACGTTTTCCCGCGACTACGCCCGCGTAAACTACAGCAACCGCGTATCATTAAGCTTCCCGTATATGTAAGAAAGGAGAATGGGCAGAAGTCGGCTAAAATTACGCAAAATTGCGCACTACGCATTTATTTATCAAAAATCTTCTTTTTAATTATAATTTATTCTATATAAATACAATTTTAAAATTATGCGGCATTTAAAATTAACTCTATTAAAAAAAGTTGCTAAATATCCACTACAATATAACTACGACTTCCTAATAAATCTCAAGTAATTAATCGGCTTGACGTGCGAACTTCCTACTACTAATTTTACAAAATAAAGTATTTTAACTCTGATAATGTTGGTATTAGTATATATATTGGTCAAAGATTTTTTTTTAAATCAACCTAGTAGTTTTTTATTTTATCCTTTACAATAAAAAATCAGCTTTCCTTTTTAAAATATAGGTAGGTATGTACTTTTTCGCAGTTAAATATTTCTATCTGTTAGTCATTGATTATTTTAAATACATAATTAATTTTATTGCTCTTATATACGTAGATATTATAAGGACATAACCTCAAAATCCCTGTTAAATATTCAGATATTCTCCAACTCTGGCATAAATTTAAAATGATTTTTTTCCTACCCATTCTAGAAATAATTCTCTATAGTTTACCATTAGTTTCAACAAGGTGCACAGTTACGCAGAAATAGCTGAACTCTCATAGTAAATTGCCCATTCTCCTTTCATGATTGGATTAGTATTTCCAAAGATTACCCCTACAAACAAACAGTATAGATTTGTTACGTATACATATAGGCCGTATAATTAAAGAAGTATTCGTACTCCTCAAAATGAGGAATTCTTTTTTTTTTCATTATATCTCTTCTCTGTCTTTCAAAGCTATAATAAATGTAAATTAAATCTACATTTATAACATACTAGAAATAAAAAAGAAAATCCTCTCAAAATGAGATACGAAGTTAATTAAGCTGATGCTAAAAATACGATCAAGTATAATTAACATAATATTTATCAAAATATACTAGCGGGTTCGGTTTGCGATCCGGAAATTAAACAACTTCTGCAAGGGCTAGTCATAGGATGGGTGACCAAAAATGTATTATCTTAAGATGAGCTTAATAACTATATCTAGTGTCTTAATAATAATTTAGATTAGTTAGTACCTGAAATGGGTGGCAATCTCTTGTACTTCCATAGCGGCGGCTAGAAGTCCCGTCGCATAACATTGCAACGGCTCCGGCGAATTTGCAGCCCAGTTCACTAACCGGTGTATTAACGACTCGTTATCCTTCAACAAATTATCAAAAAACAAATACTAATAACTCGTATTCCATACAGTTGAATAGATAAATAAAATATTGAGTTTTACACTGAGACTGCACTTAGTATTGGTTAAAATTCATATTATCAAACATTTACTTAGCAAAGGTTAACCTAGTACAAGATACATATTTACTTCTAGAAGATAATAGGTTTGCTAATACTCTGTACAATATGAATTTGGACTAAAAATGCAATTTTTGCATAAATTTACTCTGACGCTAAACCTTGTTTATTAAAAGCAAGGTATGAAACTAAGAAAATACATATTAAAAACCTAAAATTATCTATAAAGTATGCCACAAAACACTAAATTTTTGTTGAGGAAGAATAACACAGATTTTACTCCTTGTTTCATGTAGAAAGTAGATGATTTTGTTTGTTATTTTTGATGTGAAAACTATATATTATTTTTGCAACCTTAAATATGGGTTGTAAAGGAAGACCAAAGTAGTCTAGCCCAGAGAATTAATAAAAGAACATGAAACATACTTTTTGATGTGCATAATAATTAAGTGTACACATTTAATATTGTTTTGGTGTTTGAAAGAATGTTCTCATCGTTGTCATCATATAAAAAGGAGTTTGCGACAGCCACTTGGAATGTACTTACACATTGGAGCCTAATCATAATAGCCAATATAACTTTTGTAGCTGCTAAATTTACAAAAGCGTGACATCCTGTGATTGATTAAGCAAAAAAGTAAAAATTTTATGTTTAATATTTTGCAAATATCTACCTGACGACAAACAAAAAAAAAATTGTCATCATTCCAATTGTTTGATAGGTTAGTGTTAGTTAGTCACCTGGAAGACGACGCTCATCTCTAGTCCTGGCATGAGGTCAAGCGTGAGCCTACAAGCGGCAACATTCAGCTTAAACACATCTCGACCCGTTATATTCTGCCGGGAGTAATATGTGTCGCGCACATAATCATTCACCAGCTAAAACAAATAATAAGTATATGTGTAAAAAACTAGATACAGGCATCACCACATATATTGTGCAAATCATAAAGTAACGTGAAACAATGAAGGCACCAAAACTATCCAGATAAAACGGCCCTCACTAATTATCACTATGAAAATTTCTTGGAAAGGGTTTAGAGGTAAAATTAATTCTTTTGTATAGATTACTGTTTCAAAGAATCTATTAGTAAAAGAAATTGGCCAAATCTGGCAGAAAACCAGGAGGCCTTCACCCGTGGAAGGGTCCAGGTGGCATTAGACTAGAGGATACTCAACGATAACCTACTAACATGTACTGTACACATGCCAAATGGAATAATAAAGGCTTTTTTATTATTTTTTATTTTATTTATTTACTGTTTTCGAACATGCAGTCAACAACCATACGTATAGGGGTCTCCAGAATTCTTAGCACAATCAATGCGCAACCAAAATTAAAACTCTATAATATGTTTTTGTATAACCTGATGTACTGTTGTAGTCAACAGCACAACATATAAAATATAAAAAACCAACATTTAAATTTTCCATGTTTTAATTGATTGAATGAATTTTGTTTTGCCTTTATACAAATGATATTGTCCTCGACAAAGTATTAACAAGAAAATCATGTGGAGTTAAAAGTTAATCTTCTGACCTTGGTCATAAAGTTGTCCTTCTTAAACATTACTTTAAGAGTGTGTCCGAGTGCACATTCAGGATCCGTCCGGGATGGGTGCCGCTCATCAAATGGATCAGGATCTTTCTTCATGAAATTCTCTGTTTCAGCTTCTATTATTTCTGCTATCCTGTAAATTATAACCATCCTCATCGATGTCTTCACTACTCAGACCCGGAAGTCTTTAGTCTACTGAACTTTCCAGCCATCAATAAATAGGAAAACAATTTTCTTCTTATATAGGTAAATAATTAATGTCTAATACACCTTTTTTCAGTTGCATAAAGAGGTTAGGGTATATTTTACCTGAACTAATTAGGTACTAAATAAATAGAGGTTACTTATTTGGTTTCAATATTTGTTTATAAGATATATTATTGTTGTTTGCATACCAACAGAGCCAAAGGACACAGATGAAACAAATTTTACCTTGCAAATTAATGAACTGTGACATTATAATTGTAATGATTCAGAGCACATATCCATAATATTATTATAATAATGACATGATTTATGTAAATGTCATTACTTATGATAAAAAGCTGGTAAGTTTCTTTCACTTTTTCTTCTCGTCAGCTAAAAGACGTCCCGAACAAGTGGTAGGGGAAAAAAATTTTTTGGTTGATTCAAAAGTGCTCGTAATTGAATAAAGATATTTTCATTTCATTTCATTATTGTGTACAAACATTCCTTCGTCTCCTTTTGCACATACCATGTGTGTTTATCCTAATAATGACATGTCCAATTAGATTTATAACCTAATGTGTTGTGGTCAAACATTAGCAATTAATTTATATAAAAAAATTCTATATATTTTTTAATTTTACATCACACAGTACATTATTTTTATTTAAATGATAATAATTACACAATAATGCTTAAGTATCAGTATTATTGTGTAATTGTAAGTAAAATGGACAATACAAAAGGTTTAACAAATTTTTACAATCAATTGAAAGCCTTAATCAATTACAATTAAAGTTCAATATTGATTGGAGAAATTTAGTCTTCTGTAATAACCTGATGTACTGCTGTAAAGTATTCATTACAGCATACAAATGCAACACTTTAGCTCAATATTTCCTACTGGCAATGGACAATGACATTAGTAAGTGTGATAGTTGGACAATAGTAAAAGTGATAAAAAAACAGGCCCAAAAATACAACAAAAATATTGAAAATAAAAAAAGAGGTAGCTATCAAACTCTTTACACAGAATGCTAGGGTTCAAAGTTATATTTCAAAGAATTCTTATCTTTTCCATAATAATCGCAATAAAGTCACATTTTACAATACATTGCGCCTCGCCGAAAAATCGAGACTATTCGTCAGTGTTATTTACGCAATGTATAGGTGTAGCACATTTTCCGGAAGCGAAAACCGAAATGTGCTAAATTAGAAAATAACTTAAGTTTATATTTTACCTTGTCAAAGTCGGTATTGGATCGTAATTCGGCGACTGGTGCTGCTCCTCCCATTGTCTCAATAGTTCAGTTACTTCTTGGGCTGGGGGCGAATCCATTATAATAAAAAACTTAGCGTAAACTCGCAATATAACCTGCAACTTATACCTATGTCACCTATGAACAACTCTTTACACTACACACATGTAAATTAATACCCCATATCATTGTACATTATGTATAAATCAAAATTATCTACTATTTTACAATAAAATATTTCACTAGATTCAAGCAAGTCTCTTGTTAAATTTCTTAAACTCAAACCGCAATTTCAATTTTTCATTCTGCTCAGAGAGTATGTCAAACAAAGAGTAAACCTTATATTTTTTAACTTTTTCCGTTAGGGAGGGCGAAAGTAGCTTAGCCCATACAGTCATTGTATGTTGTAAAGAGTAAATTAGAATTGTTAAATCACAGACTATCAAAAGAAATTACTCGACATGGATGAATTTACTCAGCACCAAGGCAATCGCTTGCGAAAGCGAAACAACAAAATGAACTTGTCAGTTGTATGACAATTTTTCGCATGTGCTTTGTCTCGCTCTATTATTAGCTCGACGTAATAGCTGCGTCCTTGTCAGTATGGTTTTGCAAGCAACTGCGAAAAATGTCGTTACACAAACACATATTTCACAGTTGCTTTACATTCACAAAGTAATAGTGATGCGACTCATGACTCCTAAACATTATTTTGTGAACATAGATTATTTTTATTTAAACATTATTTTTATTTTTCATTGAGAATATTTACCAGAATAGTATTGTGAATGTATGAAAATATATTTTAGTGAAAAAAGAATTCTTGGCTCTATGAGCTGATGTTCCCTTTGTTTAAATAAAAAAAAAACATATTTAAAAAAAATACGCTATTTATTTACCGCCTTTTTTTATTTATAATAATTGTATTTTTTTTTCTTCGTGTTGACGTTATCTCTTAAAAATATTTATCTGTAATTAACATTTTTATACGGGCAAAAAGAATCGAACAATAATAAATGTAAATATTACTGAGGGTATGAATAATCTCAGCATATATGGTCAAAAAGATAAAAAGAATTGTTGGGGTTAAATTTCAGCGTTTGTCTGTTTGTCTCGTGTAATTTGGTTGTATGGATTAAGATATCAAATATAATGACTTCAAGAGGAAGTTTAGGAAGCCACGACAGAAAGCTACGTTATCGTGCTTTACTGGATAATTTGTCAACGTTGGGTTAGTATTCCGATAAAACAATCTGTCATTTAGTGGACAGTGGTTTTACTGTATTTAATGTTAATATGCAATAATTGTTTTTAAATGCTTTTTAAACCTATTAATAGATAGATATGTACACCTGATATTCATCTGTATGAGGAGGTCCAGTAAGCAAGAAGTCTGGTTATACAATTGATTAAACTTCTACACTTGATTTTCAACCTTTAGTTCATTGAACGTAGAGTTGAAATTCAGCTGTGCTGTTGTGTGTACAGCTGTATATTGCTAGAAAGTACATGTCAGATGTCTAATATCCCAATGCTGGTCTATTGTGGCAACCTCGAGTTATTGGGAAAGCTACTACTCCACATTCATAATAGTTATTATCATGTATAACAAATACACATAGGCAATACTGCCAATAAATTATCTGCACAATTTCCTTTAATGGCAAAAACCTGAAAGCAGCCCACATTACGAGGCATTGGCCTGTTGCAGATATAGGTATATGAATTTTTGTTAAATTAATTTAAAACTGTAATACTGTAACAACTTATTGGAGGTGGTATATACTTGTTGTTTAGCATCTTTCAATACTTCAGTGGCTTAGAACCTGTGTTTTATTGTTTAGAGTCAGTCTTACACCACTTACAATCTGTAGAAATGTATAAATGGAGACTGCATAAATTGATTTAAGGCATACATCTTGAAATTATATAATTTCTCCAGATTTAATAATTCCTTAATTAATATGTTTTATAGAGAACATCAAATCCTGGAACTCGCACTCATCACCCAGGACCATGTACCATTTACCAGTTTTTTTTTATTAGTTCCTATTTACATATACATTAAATAAAATATGTTGTTTCTAGTTGACCTAAGATATCGCTCATTTTAAGCAACTAACATAACTGCAAAAAGTAAAATTAACCTAACTATATACTTACTTATTTATATATTATAGATATGTAAAATATCTCCATAATCGCATAGGAGTGTGAATGCCACATTTGTAAGTTCAAAATGCTCACACTCGAGACTAAAAGGAATTATTGACTTATTAAAATTTGGTCAAAATATTGTTATATAAAATTTACTGATTCGAGTCAATGTCTCTCCAAATGAGACTGTGACAAAAATCCCATTGCAAATGAGAATTGCAATGGGATTAATGTGCAACTCCAAATGTCTTGTCTATGATCTTTCCAAAGAACACATCATCTCTTTGTTTTGCAGAGGATGAAAGCGCCAATAATGTACAGCGTATGGACAAAACTGCTGAAGCAGTACATGAAGCACAAAGCCTGCTGGCTGAGGGTGGGGTGGAGGAGCGTGTCAAACATCCAGGTGAAGCCTAACTTTAATTTGAACTGATCAAAATAATATATTATGTATATTTAGTATACCCTTCTTAAATTCTATGTCTGTTTTTAGTTTTATGCATGCTATAATGGGCAAGGGCGGATCCAGGGGCAGGTTATGACCCATTTTGAGTTGGTTGACCATCGACATTTGGTAATGCCAATGAATGCACTTGTTAAAATGGGTTGGGAAAGTAATCCTGATCGGATTTCATGTGCAAAAACCCTTGCACATAGTCGAAATTTTTAATTTCATGCCTCGTGTATATATATATATATATATATATATATATATACTCAAATAAAAATACAATATACTCAAATACCAAGTTTTAGGAAGCTCTTGTTATATATGTATATTTATTTCACAAACTCTTAAGACTGTTAGGAGTCTATATAGATAAATAAATGTGGGAACATTACAATGAATCAATGTATAATCTATTTATAATTTACCCATATCCATAAATAATGGAGAGACTATTTGTTTTCATTGATTAATATTTTTTCAGGGGAAGGGTACCTTGACTCCCGCGTGTTACGTGCTACCAGTGATCTAGCAGTGCGATGTTCTGAAGCAGTCAGCGGCAATGTTAACACTTACGATAAGCATGAGCTCGCCCAGCATATAGTATGTATGCCTATTTTTTATTACTTTATATATAATCTGAAATAACGAAGGTATTGCATCCACCCAGACATGAGTAGTTCAATTTCTATATCCATCCGACAAGGAAACGAACACTGCATTGAAATTCTGCTAATTATAAGTAATAATATTTGTATCTCAATGGAGTCTCAACTTTTTGCATTTTTCCATCTACCTGAAGTCCAAAATCATTAGTCTTCCTCACAGGCCCGGATCTACGATTTTTTTTTCGTGGTAGAAATTTGATATGGTGCCCTTTTTCTCCCCCTCCATGAGGCCGGATTTTATATTACCATATTTTTGCATTGTATGATTTTTCTTTAATTTCAAAGCATGTCATTGAACTGAATGATATTTGTGAAGCTCGTTCTATAAATAGGTATTATATAATGATGATTTTGGATTGGTTTTTTTTAAACAATAAAAACAAAAGATGATTAATTGATAAACCTTTTTGTATTTAAAAAAAAATATCAAAAAATATATATCTTGACAATTACGCACCCAAATAAAATGTAATGGTATGTATACAGCGCGAGAATCCGGACAGTTGAGAGTTCTCGTTCCCACTGGAGGTGCCACTGTTCGGTTACCTGTTGATAAATACCTTTCTGTATTTAAAAAAATGTTGCCAGTAACTAATTATTAAAAAAAAATTACCTTGATGATTACACACCCTGATAAAATGCAATAATGCATATGCAGCGCGAGAATCCAGACAGTTGGGAGTTCTCGTTCCCACTGGAGGTGCCAGTGTTCGGTTACCTGTTCGGTACGTTCGCGGCCACGCCGGTGGAGCAGCGGCCGCGCGCGCCGCGGAAACGCGTCGAGAAACAGCAGGCGGCCGCACTTAACGCGCCCCACACTGTCGACAAGTCAGTATTTATATATATTCTATTAATATTATAAATGTGAAAGTTTCTTCGTTTGGATGTTTAGATGTTTGGATGTTTGTCCGTCAACCACGCCGGAACTACTGAACGGATTTTGATGAACTTTGGTATACAGATATGGTATTAGCTGACTTTTTATCCCACTAAACATTTCCCTAGGGTCCACGCGGGCGAAGCCACTGGCGAAAGCTAGTGTATATATATATTTAATTACTGAACCCACTTTATGGTTTTGTAGTATGTTGATATTAAGTATCACGTTGTGAACGTGATCTCGATGGAATGCACTAATATGCAAATAATTCACGTTCGATAAATGTGCTGCCTTAGCAGTTACATATCACGTACCCTAAATATCCCCTCTTAGATTTAAGTAGTATATAAGACGAATATTGTTTAGTTAATTAGAGATCTACAACCTGAAACATAGTACTGAAACATAGTATCATTTCTCCCGACCACGCTGGCGCTATTTCAGTTTACATAAAGTTTACTTGCATCATGTAAATCGCTAAGGTACAATCACGGACACTGCCGCTCTGCCACCCATAAGGCTAGTATCGCTTGCGCTTAGGCTTACGTAAAATTCTCATCCGTTTCATTGAGAGATCGTCTGTCTCGTTCACGCACGTTACAATTTTGGTATCTGTCGCATATTGCTGCGACGTTGCCACGCTGACTGCTGCACGCCGCTGCTAAATTACGAATTTTCGTGTATTGTTAAACAATGAATAATTCTAGAGATTCATTTGTTGCATACGCTACTCTGATAGTCAGCTTTGTAACTTTCAGAGGTATAATTATTAAGTAAATGGTGCGTTTTATTAGAAAAATAATCAATGGTGTTAAAAATAAAGTGTGTATTTTTTATAATACAAATTTGTTTTGACAAACCCATTAATCCCATTTCAAAATACTTTTTGAATAGTTAACCTATTTACAGTTAAAGTAAGAATATAAAAACTTGGGGGTAGAAAAAGGGCGCTATACAAAGTTTCCGGCACTGTTAAAAAAACGTAGATAAGGTTTACTTATTGGGAAAATAATAGCAGTTGTTATTTTATTTAACCATAACAAGTAACATAAACGATTGAAAACATAACATAACAAAAACATGAATGAATTTCATAAAATAACCCCGCATTATATATCTCTATCAGTCGTGCGCACACATATTGCTATTGCGCTCGCGCACATGCATCTAGCCTAATTTGTCAGAGTAAAGTGAACCTAAAATGTATACGATATCTATCGGTAATCACAAAAATCAACGTCTAAAAATCTCTATTCAGTGACCAATAACAACTAGTTATATGTTTGAAACTCTATATTGTCATAGACTTGAGAAAGTAGAAGAAGGCTCAGAGATGGTGTCCCGAGTTAACCGCTTCATACTGAAGAATTACCGGAATAGTGAACGGCCTCTGAGTTACTTCCACCTGGTGCTGGACCCGGACAGCTTCGCTAGAACCGTTGAGAACATATACCACCTCTCTTTCCTCGTCAGAGATGGGATGTTAGCGGTACAATTGGGTATGTATTCATAGAAATAGTATTCATCAACCTCTGAACTGGAATGATGAGAGAATAAAAAAAAAATAGGGGTTTAATTTACATATACATGATCTAAAAAATCGTGTCGTTCGTATGAGTTGATCTAAAAATAAATTTAATTTACAAAATCTCCCGCGAGAGGGCCACTTCTGTCATGGCGTCGCAATGACGTCACGGCCCTGTGAAACAAATATTTCTTAAGAATGAGTAAGAGGACCGTGACGTCACGCGTTGTTTGCGGTCTCGTGACGAGTATAAAATAAATGTCTTTTTTTTTTAATAATAATTTAAATCATTATTATAAGTATAATAAATAAAAGTGTTATTATCGGTAATATATTAACTACCAGAAAAAAATAATAATATGTAATTATTTATGTTACACCCGTGTTCTATTTAGTCCGTCGGTACGGTAATAGAAAAATATAAAAATAATACAAAGTTTACTATAAACATAAATTGTGTCTCAGTTCACAAAGTATTTAGTGCGTTTTATGCAAATTATGCATGAACCTTTGTGTTTGGTTTCAGATGAGGAATACGGTCTTCCCTTCGTAACACCGGTGGCAGCGAGCGGTTCCGGCGGGGGGGATATCAATGAAGAGAACCAGTTCATAGTCTCCATAGATATGGAACGATGGCAGGTATGTATAAATGAGGCCTCAAAACTGACCTAATACACGATTTTTCATATCCGTGCTTTTCTATGAGAAAGTATTTAAAAAAAAAAGAAAGCACTTCCACTAGATGGAGCTCTAGCAAAGGTTGATTTTTGCAGGAAACGAATGGACTAAAGACAGTCGTTTCCGTTCGTTTTAACTAAAATATTAAAAAACTGAAATTTGCAAAATTCGAAACTTACATATTAATATAAATAGAATATGAGTTGTTTATTGAGTTTTGAAAACTAATTTAGTTTTATATATGAAAGAAAACCGGTAGGGTTGTCATGGAGAAATCAAGAAAGTACCGTAGCGACATCTAGTTTGATATCGGGAAGTAATCTTTTCTTTTTTTAAATTCTCACTCATTGCAATTTAAAAATTGCTTATTTATATAAAATTCAAAACGGGCCTCTGTTGAAAATATGTTCAAGTATTACGTAACGCATGGGGTGGGGGGGGGGCGCAACTTTTCACTGGATAGAGGGTCAAAAATCATAAAAAAATGTGTTTAGATAATACACGAACGGCCCCTGGGTTGGTTTTGCATGTGCAAATAAGATTATACGGTTTTGCATCATAATGTATTATATTTTAAATAAATCGCAATAGATAAGTAATTATTATATATGGGTATTCACGTTTTATTGACCAATGAGATGAGCGCGCACAGGTTGCGCGTTAATTCCATCGACCAATGTAACTTAACCATTAATGTAGCGGAAGACTTATGTACCCTTTCTACATACCCTGAGATCTGAAGATATCAACTACATAGTTTAAAACAAAGTCGCTTTATCTGTCCTTATATCCCTATTTATGTTAAAATCTTTAAAACTACTATAGGGTGATTCAAAAGGAAGGTTTTTATGTATAATACAAGACCACGCGGTCGAAGTCGCTGGCAGAAAGCTAATAAATAGATAAAATTAATATTATATTTTTGTTTTAGGAATTGATCGAGGCATTTGACATTAAAAAACCCATGATGGTTTTGAAGAGAAGATAAAACGGTGTAAGGTGGAGCGCCAAGGTTTCATTCATTTCAATTAACAATAGATGGCGTTGTAATTTAAAAAGACGCGTTAGACTTATCAACAGTCGAAAATAATGAAATCGTGACGATTCACCGTGTGATAATTTATGTACAGTCGAATCCGTTTAATATGACACCGCATATAGTGACCAACCGCTTATTATGACGTAATTACACAACGAGGTTTGGTTTTCATATAAAATTCTTGAAAAAACGTCGGATATAATGACTTTGCTTATAGTGACATGTCGGTTATTATGACCCATTTTTAATAAATTATTTCCGGTTATAATGACCGCCTAGACTTTTTACACTTCCGATAATTGTCGGTGATTCTCGGCGTCGTTCGGCACGTGGCTAACTTGAAAGTGATGGAGAAGAGGAAGTCGAGGAAGAACCATTACCTACCGCAAAAGAGGCATTAAAGGCTGCAGAAATATTATCACGATTTGTTCATAGCAATATTGAAAATGATAATTTGACCATGGTGATCTTCTTTAGACAATACTATTAGAGACTGTTATTACAATAAATAAAAAAAACAAAAACAGGCAATTATTACAGATTTCTTAATAAAAAGAAAAATACTAATATTACATACTTAAATGTATCGTTTATATTTTTTATGCTTTATTAAAATACATACCTAATTAGAATTACATAAAAACAATTTTTATCACCAAACTCTTTGTATGACGTCCGCTTATGACGTGTTTGTCAATTCCCTTCGATGTCATAATAAACGGATTCGACTGTATTTAGTTTAAGGACTTGTAAATAAAGTTGATTTTAAATAATATACATTTGTATAATTTTGACGCGTATGCCAATTTGTTTAATAGTTGTTAAAATCGAAAATTGCTGTCACAATCATTTTGAACCCCATCTTTATTAGTTAGTTCCTTTTCCTGTTGAAAAACGGACATTGAGAAATGAATTCTATGAAAAAGACCATACGTATCGTTATCCATATCTAATATGTCGTTTCATCGTATTACAGCGTTTTGTTATAGGAGACGATATTGGTCACTGCCCTCACCCGTACAATAATAAGCAGTACTCCGTGGAAACGATACTGAGATTCTGTGAACAACGATACGTATCGTTTACTTTCAACGCTCACATTGTTTTGTTGTTGACTAAAATAGCAACCGTTAATATGATCCCCAAAATAAACAAATCTAATTTAATTCGATATATCTATTTTTCACGATCTTTTAAGATCATCCTTTCGTGTGGTTATCGCCTTTTTAACAAGTAAATGTATTTTTCTTTTCCATATACCAATATAAACATTTAATTGGCCATTTTGGAAAATTCTTGCAATAAATTAACAAACTATCAACCAGTTGCACAAACGTCCATTTTTTTTAATTAGTTTAAAGCGACATTACCGATACAAATTTGACATTCAATAGAGCTTAAAGGCGTCATTGAATGTCAATGGACATTTGTGCAACTGACCATAGAAGTAGTAAAATTATCATAACATTTTGGGTATTATTCATAATTATTTCAATAATTCATAAATAATTTATTTCTTGCATTTTGTGCTACTACGCTTTTTATCTTCAAATAACGTCACGCGAGTGTTTTTAGACGAAGGGCCATCCATAAATTACGTCACACGTTAAGGGGGAGGAAGGGGGTCGACGAAGTGTGGCATTGTGTGACAAGTGGGAGGGTCCTAAATTTCGTGACGTCACATTTCAAAATATAATCTAAGTGTTAAAACACGAACTTTAAACTATTACTTTACAAAAACCTTGCAAAATATGTGACATCAAACTAGGAGGGGGAGTCTAATGTGACCAGCTGTGACTAGGACCAGGGGGAGGGGCATAAAAATCATGAAAATCGTGTGACGTAATTTATGGATGACCCCCAAGGTTCTAACGCATTAGCAATTTGCGGGACTTATACCACTTTGTGATACTATGCCAATACATTTATCATATAATTAAAATTCAAACACAATAATGATTGCTCAAAATATATTTCACGTAACGCAACTTCGTCATAGTGACGCAGTTAAAATTACTACTTTACAACAATACAATAATTTCTTACGTCATAAATAATACGGCCATTTTTATATAACATAGGTACATGTGCACCAACAGTACAAGGTTAAGAGAACAATGTAGGCAACCTTCTGTGTAAAACAATGTATGACCAATGAGGAAGTATTTAAAAAAGGAAGCACTAAAAAAGCACCTCCACTAGATGGCGACTCTAGCAAAAGTTGATTTTTGCAGGAACCGAATGGACCAAAGACAATAATTTCCGTTCCTTTTAACTAACATAATAAAAAACTGAAATTTGAAAAGTACAAATAGAATATGATTTGTTAATGAGTTTTGAAAACTAATTTACTTTTATACATGGAAGAAAACCGAAGGGGTTTTTGATGAAGAAATCAAGAACGTACCGTAGCGACATCTAGTTTGATTTCGGGAACTAACTTTTTTTAAATACTTCTTCATTAAATTAAGACAAACTTCTACACTTTAAAATAATAAATAATTATTGATATAATCCAACACATTTAAACTTAATTGATAATTTTAAAGTATTCTTGTCCTCGAACGAACAGACAAAAAAAAATATGGCGATGTTTTGGAAATCTAATAACTATATACAGCGTATCTATTAAACCGCGGACAAGCCGAGAAATCATCATTCATCAACCGATCATCCTTGAACATTGCATATTTTTACTATTTAAAGAGGATAAAGCATTTTTCTCATAAATCATCAAGAGATGGCGCTATAAGTACACGACATTGATGTGTCAATATTCAAGAAGATTATATTAAAATTACCGTAATAAAGACAAAGCAATTTTCAATCGTGAACTGTAAATATAAATTTCTTCAGACAATATAATTTGTATAAATCACAGCAGCTATGCGCACATTTGAAAATGTTACCGATTTTATAATAGCAACAAAAGTCTCGATACGCGGCTTGTCCGTTAAAAATCAATATTTTCTAATGATTTAATAAATAAAATTAAATAATCGTGAAAGTATTTACGTTTGTTAATATTACGTATGACGTTTTTCGACGATGTCCATGAATTCTGAATAATAAATAGATTCTAGAAGTTCGACTATTTTTAGTTACCTGACTGGCTACGTACGAAATTGTACACAGCTGCCCTAATTTGATTTATAAAACTTAATAAAAAAAAAACTTTATTCTCCAATTTAACAAAAATTTTTTTTTACAAAATTATAAAAAAAATTACAATGTTACTAATAAATATCCGTGTAAAACATGTTGGTGCACATTATACACTGCAAATACATACTTCATATCAACTAAACATTTCATACATTGTAAAACCTCACTAATAAGCAATATATAAGCATTGTGTAGTAATAACAGTGTTTTGTCTTTTTCTCTCGCTCTGAAAGTTACATTGGAATGACGTGGACAGAACTATAAATTGCTTATTAGTACGCAATATTAGGTATATCTATCAATTTCATAACTTTGTTTATAAACAACCTTTAGTAGTTTACACCTTCAAAGATTGTCGCAAAGTTGTCATATTTTTTTTTTGTTCCGTGTGTCTACGAACGTTTAAAATCTTAAAACATAAATAAATTCAATATGTGTTATAAAACAAAAATGTTACTTTATTAATATTTAAAACACTGTATATAGATTACATAGGCTGCCTTAACCCCATAGTTAAACTAATTTACAAACTAAAAAAAAACAAGATAAATACACATTATGTTTTTAAACACTAGGCAGTGGCACTGACACAAAAATAGGCGGTAAAACTAGAACGCAAATATTATTTACATAGTTTAATATTCATTCATAATGTAAATGTCACATCGAAATATTAGACATTTAAAAAAATCTCCCTTCTCTTTTTAATAAGATGATTAGAAAAAAGTTATAAATACGAAAATTCAGATTAGATAATTAATTGTTTATTTAAAAAAAATCAGCGTCAAACAAATATTTTCATAACACCAATAGCACGCGTCTCATATAAGTCCAGTTACAACAATGTCCATTAAAATTTTCATTAGTTACATTAATTGGAGTTTAAGACGTCATTCAATCTTAATGGACGTATGTGCAACTGGGTGGGTAAATGAATTAATTATTTATATAATCCGTAATTATTTATCAGAACAATGTTCTTATTTTTTTTTTTTTTTTTTTTGGTAACAAATGTCAATACAAGCAATTTTTCAATTTTAACTCTAAAATACTGGAATGTTCTTTTGAAATTGCATTATATTTACATGGAACGCGATGCATCGGAAACTCTGGATTAACATACAATGGCAGAATAATTATATCTATTAAAAATACCATTTATAATGCCCAAATTACATTATTAAAGCCCTGCACTAGATTCATCGGGATAATGTAAACCAGGTATAATTTATAACGACAGGTTTATCGGAAACGTACACTAAAAGCGATCTCTACCAGGCAACCTTGTAATGGAACTCTTTTAACTTGAAAAACATTTAGAAGATAAATATAATTAAAAGTAAGTATATTTTATTGAGACCAAAATTTCATAAGTACTAACAAATATTACAAAGAAGAATTGTTTATTTGCATCGAAAAGTCTCCAAAACAAACTAGACCGATTTTAAAAACTATTAAAATACACCACTGGATTCAAAGAAAACAAAGTAAGAATTGATATTGCGCCCTTACACCGATGTATGATGGAATTTAAAGACTGAAAAGATGTTCCTTCACATCGTAGCCTATGAATTTATTTTAAAAAACATGTCGTAAAACTCATTTTTCAGGGTTCCATACACAAAGGGTAAAACGGGAACCTTATTATTACTAAGACGTGAAATTTAAACAGTTGAAATTTTCAAAGATGATGTATTTCTAATTATAACAAATACTAAAAACTAGAATAAAAAAAATTATGGGGCCTCCCGTACAAGAGACGTAATTTTTTTTCCTTGTTTTTGCTCGATATTGATAACGACGGCAGATAGACGCTTGAAATAATCACAGAATATGAATTTATATAATACTTTAGAAATAAATAATTAAATGAAAATTTTAAAAAAATATCTAAACGTGTTTTTTTTTTGTTTTATTCCGGAACGGAACCCTTTGTATTCGAAAAACACTCTGCCAGTTCTTTATCTGTATTATAATATTATTATGACTTTGGCGCCCACCTGACACTGGCGTCTGGGGCATTATTTTTCGGACCTATCCAATACAAAAAAAAAACAAGCAGATCATTCTTCTTTATAATATTACTAGCTGTTTTAGTTGATAATTGCCTTTTTCATATTAAAGGCCCTATAACATAAAATACATTGAAGCGGTTACTTTTTAATTCCAACATACTTATAAACGAATATACTTGTCGTACGGTCAGTTGCACAAACCTCCATTAAGATTTAGTGGCACCTTTAAGCTCTAATGAATGTCAAATTTGTATTGGTAATGTCGCTTTAAACTAATGACAATTATAATGAATATTTGCGCAACTGGCTGATACTGTTTTAGACATAAATTTTATATTTATCGATTAATTAATTTTAGTATCATAAATTAATAAGAAGATTAAAAAGAAAGAGAAACAAGTCGTGTCTGTGACGTTAAATAAAAAATTGTGAACTGATTAATAACTTTTGTGTATATAATCCATTATTTATACATTAATTTTTATGCGAAAACAAAGGAAACCGTTAAATTTGTCGTGAAAAGACTAGAAATAACACAAGATCTCTATATGTATGATTAAAAACATTTATTAAAGTCTGTTGGTAGATGCCCAAATTATGTTTTAGTGACTCGGTAATCCCCGCGGTCGTGAGTTATAATATCTTTATAATACCGATAGCACACGTCTCATATAGACCCAGTTGCACAAATGTTCATTAAAATTGTGTAATGACAATTTTGAACGCGACAGTACCGAGACAAATTTTCATATTCAGAACTTTTATTACAGTTTGAAGTCGCCATTAAAAGTTAATGGATGTTTGTGTTAGTAGGTGTAAATCAATGAATTAATTTATTTGTATAATCCATTGTTATTTATCTGCCAACAATACTGTGTAATTATTGTTTCCATATAATTTACCAGCACAGTGGAATCCCGCAAGATAATTCATTAAATCATTAATATATCTCTTACAATAGCTACATTCATTAGTGTATTAGTCAGTTTGCCTTGCTTGAGTCAGGAGGTTTATGTTCTTTTAGCCTCGAGATTTCAGCTCCTAACGTGTCCATGTTTTCCTGTAATCATAGATAGGTATTATTTACAGTTTGCATTGAAACGCTAAAACTCATTTTCTTAATCATTAATTACTCGAGAAAAGGTTACGTTATTTAAAAATTGTACCTCAAAATACTATGTAGGTAGTTATTTTTTATTTGTTTGGAAAAATGTTTCAACCACTTGACTACCCACAATTTTTGTACGAAAAAACTTAGTTTGTCAAACAAAATCAAAGAAAATTATTTGTTTGAACTCAAGTTGTTTATTAGAAATAATTAGAATGTAGATATAATACTGATTCATGCGTTATTATTGTGGAAATGAGTGTACTCTGGACTACTTAATTTCGTTCGTTTTATTTAAACATTACTGTATTGCATGTATGGATCGGCATATTAGTCAATTATTGAAAAAGATACTATTTTGTCATTTTTTATATTGTTATGGAAGATGACGTCACACTAATGAACTCACTTTCCAATTGAAATTCTCTCTCTTTGAAATAAAACAGGAAGATAAAAGCAGCCCCGAGTTGCTTGGCGGTTCTTCTCGGTACAAAATCTCCCAACGTATATTAACGAACAGATGGCATAGAGTTTCGAAATCCACAAATGCTTATAACAGCCTAGATCAGACCCGGATCTACGATTTTTTAAGAAACTGTACGGCGCTCTACCTCTGCTCTACCCCCCTAGGCTCCCGAGGCCGGATTTTATATTACCATATTTTTGCAGTGGATGATTTTTACTTTAATTATGTCAGGGTTTTCGAAGTATGACTGTCCCATCGTAGCCTATGTAAATGAAAAGATTTGTAAAGCTCACCCTTTTTTTAACTGTAAGTAGGTATTATATGTTTGGAGCGCTACTTGACGCTGGCGCCTGAGCCATGTGCCTCATATTCTCCCCCCTACCCCCTAAATCTGGCCCTGGCCTATACTGAATAAATGATATCGAATTTTTAATACGTACTTTTAATGTGATATTTTTAAGGAGAGCATCTTCTAGCACAGCTTGGAGCCGTTTATTCATTTCCAGTGACAATTCCAGTGTCATACCCGCGGGGTCACCGCCCCACACTGCCGCCATTGCTCCTCCGCCAAGGCGTGCTATCTCTTTCTATCATAAACAAAAACATTTAACGAATATTATTCTATGACCTCATTCTGGACATAACTTCTAAAATCTAGATTTGAATAATCGTTAATTTCCAGCCGACCTTCCTCCTCGAACTTGGTTCTTATTGATTCGGTGAAATAAGACATGGTATAATTAATTATTAATAATGAATAAAAAAGTATTAAACCATATCGACAGGTTTTTTTCAATGAGGAAGTATTTAATAAAAAAAAACATTAGTTCCCGCAATCAAACTAGATGTGACAACCCTTCCGGTTTTCTTTCATGTTTAAAAGTAAATTAGTTTTCAAAACTCAATAAACAAATCATATTCTATTTGTACTTTTTCGTTTTTGTATTGATATTTAAGTTTCGAACTTTTCGAATTTCTGTTTTTTAATATGTAGTTAAAAGGAACAGAAATGACTATCTTTGGTCCATTCGTTTCCTGCAAAAATCAACTTTTGCTAGAGGCGCCATCTAGTGGAGGTGTATTTTTAGCGCTTTCGTTTTTTTTTTAAATACTTCCTCATTATTTAAAAAAGCTACGCATAAACATAATAGGCATTAAATTGTTCGTTTATGTAAAAAAAAACTGCAATTGGCTGTACCTCTTGTCACGCACCCAAAGTCACTGTATATCTACAATGATTACACACACATACCGTAGCGCGTACAATTGAATTGATCCGTCAGTATAGACGGATTATCCGTCAAATGTGCAAGTTTGGATGTTAAAGAATTATCAGATCTGTTCTGACGTTCCGCCATGAATCTTTGAGTTTCCTCCTAATGGAACGCACCGATCATTTATTATTCAATGATTATATATAAGAGTTGAATTACATACAAATATACATACAGTAGAAGCTCATTATTCGCGGATGTTTTTTTTTTCTTTTATTGATAGGACTACAAACAAGTTTACAATTCATCTTAATTAGCTTATTTACTAACATTTATTACTTATTGTAAACTCAACAATAACTTACATATCAACTTAATTAGAAATGTGAAACCAATAAAGCTAGAAATTAATTTTATTCTTCAGAAGTTAAGTTTAACTAGGTAAGTTGAAGGTATAATCTTTTTGCTTTGAACATAACTGATATTAACTTAAAGGAAAGTGAAGAAATCGGTAACATAAAGAGATTCAGCGCGTTTATTAACACATCGTCAGCTTTTAAATACTCCGGGCATGCAATTGGTAGTTCCTTAATAGATAGAATACATATTACTTTTATTTTAGAACCTTGCAACGTATCTTCTATAATTCTAACCTACATGCCATCTGTATTCGCGGTATATAGAAGGAACTTATTCCCCGCGAATAAGGAGCTTCTATTGTATTTAAAAATATCATTTACCTTTGTCAATGGTCGTCCCTGCTTCTAATGTAGCGTACACAAAAAAGACAGTGTAAATGTCGGAAAATTTAACTTGATCAAAAATAGCTTAAACAAATTCTTAGCAGTAACCGTAGAACAATGAGCGTCACTTTGTCTTTAGTGTAATTATTTTTGGGTCATTCGTTAAGACTATAGTCAGACTATAGGTATATTCAGTTGGTAATTTATTTTATTTTATTGTTGTATGAAAGTTAAATTAAAAAAATTGTAAGAAAAAGAGTTATTATCTATGATATTATAGTCTGTGTCTTCGTAAAGCGAGAAACACGTACAATACACAAAGTATTATGTAAAAGTTTAGAGAAAACGATACGTATCGCTATGCATTAAACTGTGTATCTTTGCCGCGAATACTGCGTTTTGTTTCGCGTCGTGCTGTCTATTGCGATAAAGGGACTATAGCGTTTCCTGCAACAAAACGTAGTATTACTCGGCAACGATACACATATCTATGCGTAGTGATACATTACATTTCCTCTGAACGCTCACATGATACTTTGTGTATAGTCTATTTTTTTTTGGCTGGAATTAGGAAATTAAATGGTTTTTCATGAACAAAAATTCTAGAAATTCTAAACGTTCATATAATTATGTTAAAATCATATCTGTGAAGATTATCTGCAAATCAGAGTCAGTGTCAAGTTGCATTATAAATTATTGCAGACTTATTTAAAGTGAAAAACAAAAATCCTTTGAACTCTTTAATGCAATTTTTAATAAAAATGCAGTATAGTAAATGCGAAATTTAAACATTTTTTAAAACATTTCCTTCGGCTGTTTGGGTGGATTGTCTGAAAATTTATGAAAATACGCTTTGTAGTAGCGAAAAAGTAACAAGTGCTTGAAAAAATTACGCCAGTCTTTTTCAGGTACGCGCATAATTTCCGAACTACTACACCAAATTGGATGTTTTTTTTTTAATATCGTTAATATCGTGCGTTCGTTATTTTCAGGGAAAGCTTTGTATATAAGAAACTTAATTAAATAAATAATAATAAAATATGGCGGTATGAAGTTCGCCGAGTCAGCATTTCGATCCAAGGGCGGATCCAGCTTTGGCGCCAGGACTAGGTCACATAGTCATGGTCAAGTCATAAGAATTTTATTAGGTCCTCGAGTCAGCCTGGGGGGGGGAGGGTCGTTCATGAACCCCGTGACTATCTTGACCGCCTACCTAGACCACCCTTGGCCTGATCTGGCAGTGTACACAGCAGGTGCCGCAGCAGCTTGGACACCAGTTACCTTGTTGACGTCCCTGTCGTTGGTGGCGACCACGCCCGCGGGCAGTGTACACAGCAGGTGCCGCAGCAGCTTGTACACCAGTTACCTTGTTGACGTCCCGGTCGTTGGTGGTGACCGCGCCCGCGGGCAGTGTACACAGCAGGTGCCGCAGCAGCTTGTACACCAGTTACCTTGTTGACGTCCCTGTCGTTGGTGGTGACCGCGCCCGCGGGCAGTGTACACAGCAGGTGCCGCAGCAGCTTGTACACCAGTTACCTTGTTGACGTCCCGGTCGTTGGTGGTGACCGCGCCCGCGGGCAGTGTACACAGCAGGTGCCGCAGCAGCTTGTACACCAGTTACCTTGTTGACGTCCCTGTCGTTGGTGGTGACCGCGCCCGCGGGCAGTGTACACAGCAGGTGCCGCAGCAGCTTGTACACCAGTTACCTTGTTGACGTCCCTGTCGTTGGTGGTGACCGCGCCCGCGGGCAGTGTACACAGCAGGTGCCGCAGCAGCTTGTACACCAGTTACCTTGTTGACGTCCCTGTCGTTGGTGGTGACCGCGCCCGCGGGCAGTGTACACAACAGGTGCCGCAGCAGCTTGGACTTGGCGCGCAACTCGGCGGTGAGCTGGCGCGCGTGCTCCTCCAGGAACTCGCAGCGGTCGGCGCGCCTGGCGGCCGCGCGCTGCAGCGACACTATACGCTCTATCAACGCCTGCCTGTCGGGTTCGCGCACCTGCAATATAATATTGTAGGGTAACTACACAACACAGGTGCGGATCTAAGGGCACCTACATCATCATCACCAGCCCTTTTACGTCACAGGTCCAGATCTAAAGGGGGGGGGAACTACATCATCACCAGCCCTTTTACGTCCCTACTGCAGGGTCTTAGGGGCTTCCTTATGGATGGTAAAGGAGTATGAGCCATGACCCTCCACGCTGGCCCAATGCGGATTGGTGGGTATTAGCGATCGCAAATGCAGCCGGGACGAACAGCTTAACGTGCGTTCCGAAGTATGGAGTATTAATTATATTGTTTTTTTTTTTATATTTTAGAATAGAAAATTTTTATTGTTGTCTTATTTCCGTATAAATTGACTTGAAAACACCTCATTTAATATCATTGACGTTCATAACAATAAATTTTCCAACGGCGTAACGTGTCTTCCGAAGCATGGAGTAGCTCGAGATAATAATTTTTCGGTGCCCCTATCCCGTGACCGACCCTTGCGAAAGTTGCTTAACGACTACGATCGCGGTCCGCGGTACTTATCCGCTACGCTACCGAGCTACTCCCGGATTAATTTAATAACATCATCATTTATTTATTGAACACTCTTACACCTATTTTAGTTATCTATTATTAATACAATAGAGGGACTGTTTTTTTTTAATAGTTGTGATTATCAAGTGACATATAATGCTACTTTTATGAATTCACATCATTTAAGACGAAAAAATTAATACTCCATGTAGCGACTAAAATCACTATCATATACGCTGCCGCTTATAAATGAAGCCAGAGTCGTAAATCATACGATGATCAGGCGATCTATTGTTCTCGCGACAACATCGAAACCTGTCCGGCCGTAAGGACCGCCTCATGCATCGCTAATTGGTGCACGGCCTAGAAAGGGGCGTTCGACGCATCCGTAAGCCACTGCCTACCAGCCCCCGGCGCGGGCGCAGGGACAAAATTAATATAAGGCAACGACGAATCGACGAGCTACACTTCTTGCTTTGCTTTCGCTGCCTTTAATTGCTTAAAAATAGCTCGTGCTTATCGTTTTTTATGTTTCTGGTTCTTGTCTATTTTAATGTTGGTTTTAAATCCATGTATATCTTTATATAAAGTAAAACATTTCTGTAAAATCGTGACGTGTTTTAATTAGTTAATATATTGTGTAGTCTATTGTGCGTTATAAATATAGTAACGAGTTCGAATCCGTTATAACAAATTTGGCGAGGGGTTTTACAACGCATTACAATCCCTTCACCATACTTCGGAAGGCGCTGTCGGTCCCAGCTGCATTTGTAGTCGTTAATACCCTTCAATCCGCATTAGGCCAGCGTGGAGGGTCATGGCCCATCCTGCTAAACCATTCAATAAGGCCTGGGCATCTGCAATGGGGACGTAATAGGCTGATAATGATAGTTATAATGATAGACCAATAGCTTTACGTGTCTTCCGAAATACCAAGAAACTTTATGTCCACTTTTGGAAATAAATTCCATGCAATCCGAAAAAAAATAATAATCATCTAATAATTCATTCAAAACACTAGCGCCACATTTTTACAATGAAAAGTCTAGCGAAAATAAAAGAACTAGTAATCGCTTCTCGAAGTTATTTTAATAAAAAAAAAACTATTAAAAAATTTACTAACTCAATCAGCAGTCAAGCGACTGCCTAACACGTTCGTTGCCAAGCCAAAATCTTAGAATTACATGAACTGTCATGGCTGCATGAACATAACTAGCAGGCGCGAACAAAACTGAATCAATAATGGTTACCCGCAGGACACGCCTAACTGTCAAAAGTTAATTGCCTTATCTAGTAGCCAATAGGCCTACCGGATCTACAACTTTTTCCAACTTGATATTACGCCCTTACATGCGCATATTTTAATATTACAACATTTTAAAACTCTTATTATTTTTAATATGAATTATATTATGATAATTTTTGCCCCCGCCCACTAAATCCGGGCCTGATAGCAAAAACCTAACATAAACAGCCGATGATCCATGGCCCGTACAAGATTAAGACAACCTAATGGTCGCTTCACGCGACGTCACGTGATACGGCATCGAACGTGCTAAAACAATTTCTGCTACGTGTTTTTATAATAAAAAACTACTCCTGTAAAACTACAAGCAAGCAACAAATATTAACCTTTGAAATAATCTTATCGAACAAACTCGCATGCTTTATCTGGAAAGTAAAAAAAGAAAACATTTGGAATAAACTGCTTCTGCAAAAGTGCCGGCACTATACATGTTAAAGAGGCATTACCTATACAAATTTTTTAATTTAGAACACTTACGGTCAGTTTCACACACGTCCATTAAGGTTTAATGATGCCTGTAAGATCTAATGAATATCAAATTTGTTTCAGTAACATCGTTTTAAACAAATTATTAAACCTTAATCGACATTCTGAAACTAGATATAAAAAGAAGAGTTATTAAAAAAACACATAACTCACCACGGGGGACGTAACTTGATCCTAAGTGAAGCGTGTACAATAAATAGAACCTTATTATATTGACATATAAACGTTTTTCAACTGTGGACGTAAATAAATTCTTTAATATATATAGGCGAGTCTGTTTTATGTCTCAACGTGATTTACACAAATCTACCAAACTTACAACCAGAGGTCGGAATTAGGTAGAGTTATTTATGTACTTACATCGAAATGTTGATATTAATGTGGACCTTCCCGGGATTTCTTTATTTCTTCTTTCTTTATTTCTTTCTTTCATTGATGAAAGTTTGGCAACGTCGTGCGTACAGTAGTTTAAATTGTGTAAAAGTAAATAACTTTTTATTTAAAAATCACGGGATTTTTTCTGCTCTTTAAAATTAATCTCTGGATTTGAGGCATATCCACTTTATTCTTTCGCTGTATGAAATCAGTGTAAGTACATGAATAACTCTTCCTAATTCCGACCACTGCTTATAACTGACAGGTTACCAAATGTGTGAACATCCAAAACAAAAGGAATGTAATTTAATAAATTATTATTGATAGTAATAGCTATTTGTGTTAATTCATAGAAACATTTTTTCTTCTTCGTCTCTGTTAGTAGTTTAAAAAGATCAAGCGTCTATCGGTCAGTTGCACAAACATCCATTAAGGTTTAATGATACCGTCAAACTCTAATGAATGTCAAATTTGTATGAATAATGTACCTTTAAACTAATTTTAATGAACGTTTGTGCACTGCACAATATAAAAATTCAGATACAGGGGCCTAATGATCTTTTTTTCTAATCTATAGCAATCCTTTTCAATTTAGTATTTGAGAGATATTCACGAACTTCGGACTGCAAACAATTGACAAGAGATAGCGAGAGCGATCAGGTCTTTTTTTAAGACATTGAATGAAAAATATTGTTAGTCTAACATTAATTGGAATTGTCTGAAGGCTGGTTACACCAAATTAGTTTAACAATATCACGAACCAGATAAGAAATAAGTCCAATTACATAAATTGGAGTTATTGATTGATTTTGGATATAAATTTCGAAATAATGCACAAATTAATTAATAACTATAAAAGAAAAACATATATAGTATGTTTAGCTCTATTAGTAGAGTCAAATTAAGAAAAATATGTAAAGAACGTAGGAATTATCGCCGATAAACTGTTCCGGAGTTTGGCAAATTAATGTTTGTAATATTGCTTGTAATTCTTTTCTGGCCAATAAATTAAAAAACAAATGATAAACTTCATTTGGCAAAGATGAGACGTCATAATTTTTAATTATAACTACCAGATGTTCGCTAGTTAAAGTTATTGTTAAATTTTACATAAACATTGACTTTAATTAAGAGCAATACTCTCCAACTAAAATAATATGGTGCACTGCAACCTAAGGCAAGTTTAAGACGATAGACGCAAATATTTAAGTAACCAAGTTTTTATAATGTTTCTTTTTCATTCAAGTAATCGTTCGTTCCGAAAGCGATTGCAACTTTAAACGTTACATAATTACACGTTACAACGTTACGATAGATTTTGAAATTAGATAATTAGGCCACTGTTTGCTAATGTGTCCTGTACGTATACGTACTTGTATATCAGGTACTGCGTCCGCGTGTCCGTTTGTGAGACGATCGTCGTGCGGGGCGCTGTCCCCGCTGCTAAGTGACGTCACTGATCCTATACACAAATCGTTTAGTTTTTTTAACTCGTCTATACTGTGTATATATTGTGTATACCGATCGAATGTAGTGGGTTTGTATTGTATATTTTTGGGTGACTTTTTAATAATTGTGAGGAAAACGTGACATTTACAGCCGTGACGTCACATTTCAATAAACATGAGTACAGTAGGGCAATTCTGTTAATATTACAGTAATTATGGAAAGTCAATATGGTTTCAACTACATACAGCCCTTTAGGACACAGTTCTTGTTACTAGCTCACATAATAATAAATATATCCGTCACCACTGATTTGTATAATAATATTGGACTACATGTAGATAGTATAATGATAAAATGCAAATAGTTGAGACTTTATTATGATGTTAAAATTAGCAGAATTGAAGCCCTGGTTGCATTAAAAAAAAAGGACGTTAACGTGTAATTTATTGAAACCTGACGTCACGAGATGGCTTGCATTTGTTATCCACAGATTATAAATCGCAAGTTAATTTTGCAAAAATAAAACATATTACATATTATTATTGTTTACATAACTGTCAAGTAGAAAATAGCAATTTGTCTTTGAAAGAGTGCATGTCGGGTATCCGACGAAATATATGAACCCGTTTATATAAAACTAGTTTTTGCCCGCGACTTCGCCCGCGTGGTAATGTTACTCGTACTTTGAGCTGCATTTCTAACGATAATTTATTCATTAGATCGTGTAAAATACCTGAACAAAAGTTTCATCCCCTATTTTATCCCTTTAGGGATGGAATTTATCAAAATCTTTTCTTAGGGGATGCCTACGTCATAGTAGCTTTATGCATGCAGAGTCTCAGCCCGATTGCTTTAAAATTGACAAAGTTTCATACAAACTTTCATCGCCTATCTTATCCCCTTGGGGGTAGAATTGATCAAAATCCTTTCTTAGCGGATGCCTACGTCACAACATCTACCATGCCTAATTTCAGCCCGAACCGCCCAGTGGTTGACAAGCAACAAACATAAATTCATACTTTAAGAACACAACTTTATATGGTTTAATAGGTTTTTTTATATTATTATTAATTGATTCCAACACAAATAATAATAATAATAATATTTTTTCCACCACAAATAAGATTACAAAAGGATGTAGAGTAAAGTTATCCTATTAAGGGTCATTTGTGGGAGACTGGTGCATGTTTAGGTTCAATCCCGTATTACAGGTCACACTTCAATAATTCAACACCGCCGGTATAGTGTCGCGAATCTCATATTATGTCAATGTCAAAGTGACAGCTTCCTGACAGATAGTAATTACTGTAATACGATCGATAACGATAAATAGTGACGTCCATGGTATTCGATATTTTTAAGTCGAATCGATAGCGTCCTTCTCTTTTGAAGTCTGTTAGAAATTATTGTTTCAAATAATATACCTTTATTATAATTTACCTGTTCTAGTGGACGCAGCGTCTGGTGGTGGTAGCTTGGCCTCGAGCTGCTCACATCGCTTCAGAGCGCGATGCAACTCGCGGTTCAACTCCTATAAATAAGGAGATCTCAACTCTTTAAAATAGGAATCAGCTATCAAACGAAAAGGATATTTTTTGTTTCTCAAAAGCCTCCAGAAACTACGGATGTGAAATACCTATTAAAGTATTCATACTTCTTCTTGTATTCATAAAACATTAAATCAATACCGAATGAGAAAAGTCAAAATTAAGTCCTGTTCTATTTTGAGAGAATGTGTTTTTCAAACTTAACTACATATGTGTTCATTCCTTTGAAAGAAATGATTTTATGCTTTTATTTATTGTTACAGTTTTATTTCTACTAAATAAATGTTATAAGAAACACTCAAAAATTTATTAGACATAGGTATTCAAACCAATTACCTTTCACTATTCAGGCAACTGCTTGTGATGAAAGCATATATTGAAAATATTTAACAATAAAGCATTATAAACGCATGCAAAACTAAATCAGATATAACGATCAATATGGTTCGTAAATCTTAATAGACGAACTCCGCAGCCGATTAGCCGTAGTTTTATGAAGCGCACATTTGCATATTTAATGAAAAAAAAAGTGTCATAATGAACTTACCTTTATGGCACTGGCGTGTTTCTTTTTTAGCACACCATTCTCCCCTTTCTCCCACTCTATTTTTTTGTTCGCGTCTGCAACTTCTTCTGTCAATTCCGCTACCTATATCATAAAATGAGACGGTTAGCGCAAAACCCAACCCACAATTTTTCATATTCATATTTATCTATTGCAATTTATTTTAGGTCCACTTAAATAATAATTTAAATTACAACGTAAGCTAAATTTACCGGTGCGTGTTTTACTTTAATACCTTTCTAGCTAAGACTTTATTTTCTTTGTTCCGCCTCTCCGTCTCCTCATTTAGGGCCGTCTGAAGTTTAGAACATTCCTCTTCCAGGATTGCTACACGTTCGCGGAGCGACGCGTTATCCGCTGTCAGGGCTTGTACCTAATGAAGATGAAAACTAATAATTACATAATCTACATACCACGTCACAGTCGGCGTGACAACTCCTAAGTTATTTTATTATTTAGTTATGTTATACACAGAAATTCTGCCAACATCCAGTAGAGACTGAACAGTAGTTAGAATTAACCAGTTCTTCCTTGAGATTGTTCTTTCTCTACTAAAAAAAGGACAACACAAAAGCAAACATCACTATAACTACGGTAGTTTTCGATTTTTAAATAGTTCTGTATGCGAATGTGGAATTGAAGAAGGTACCACTGATCACATTTTTTTTTTAACTGCCAGGAGTATCCGTCCTTATATAATCAACTCCCACCAAAAACTCCTCGTCCAGTTAATCACTCTTCTATCTATTTCTGACAAAGGGCGCTTGTGCATTACACTGAATTTTCATGTCCGGCGGTCCGATTTTTTCAGGTCCGATATGTCAGGCCATATGTAGGTAATGTGCGCTTGTGCACTGACAGGAATTTTACCGTCCGGAATTTTACTTTTCTCTATTCCGGACCGGTTTTTTCAGGTCCGTGATGGCGGCAATGAAAAACGTGTTTACGCTTGTGCACTGCTGTGTCCGAGATCCGGAAAATTCATAAGGAATAGGCTTGGGAAAAAATAATCGATATTTAATTCGGCAATATTGTTAATTTTCAATAAACTTTTAATCGATATTTATTGTTGATTATAAAATGCTATATTTTATATGATGATTTAATGTAGTTGGTATATATCACTGCATAAGCTTTGGCAAACTCGGTATTGTTCTAATTTGATCAGCGTATGGTTCTAGTATCGATACTTAGCTAGATTTTAGAATCGTATTAAAAGTATCGATAGCTTAAGGTAAGATAAATAAGTGTTGTTACGCTTAGACGCCTAAACAACTGAACCCATCTAAATGGAAATTAATATAATAAATAGACTTAACTTTAAGAATGGACATAGGCTACATTTTATCGCGAAAAATAGGGGATGAAAGTTTGCCTGGAAATTTGTCATTATCAATTTTTTTTACGACAATTGATAAGTATAGATAAATATTTGACAACAGAAGTAATAATAAAGAATAAACAGAAGATTAACAAAAGTAATTAAGTGACACTCAATGTCTTTTTCACATTTAATAAAATTTTAAATGTATGTTTGTGTCATTATTAAATTTAAAAAAAAGAATTATTCTAAGGGAATAATATTTCTGCTCATAGAAACTACACCACGCGTATAAAATTATGCCTATATATAATACAGTCAACTGATCTCGTAAAGTTCATTTAGCATATTAATTCTCCGCTTACACGGCACTAATTTCGATTTGTTTACGAAATGGCGCCACCGATTGGTCTATTTCTGTAATCGCTGAAAGTTGTTTTTACAAAACTTCGAAAAAAAATAGCACGTTTAAAAATTTAAACATCAAGTACTAGACCATTATCAGTAATTTTATTCTAATGTCACAGATATTTTTAGCTATTGTATGTGAATAATGCTGTTCCTAAATTAGTAAGGGTATAAGTTTTTACACCTGATAGTAGTCATCCGATAGTAGTAAAAAAAAAATGCTTTCGTCTTGCCATAATTTATTATGGTTTATGGTAAACGATCAGATTATTATTTAGGTACCTTTCTACGTCTTCGAACGGAATTACCGACGGTCCAAAAATCTCATCGTACCTAGCGTAAGTGACGTGTAGCTTTAAAGAGAGCTGCCCTATACTGCGCCGCTCCGATCAGGAAAAAAACGGACAAGTGCACAAGCTACTCATCCGAGTTTTTCATGTCATTCCGGACCGGAAAAAATCGGACCGCCGGATCTGAAAATTCAGTGTAGTGCACAAGCGCCCAAACCCGGCTTTATATCGGCCAGTTTCTTAATTGAGAAAAGCACAGAATCTAAACTTAAGTTTTTTACTATTCACATGGCAAAAAGTCTTAGTTCTATCAACTGATTGAAATCGCTAACAACTGATCATTATTTTTTTTTTAAATCAGTAAAGAAAACCTGTTTAAATGACGTTTAAATTGGCATAAATACGGTTTGAGTCGTGCTCAACTTCAGATTCCCAATTCAGATACCGGGTGTAAGTCTTTGTAAATTTATAAAAAAAACATAATATTTGATGATTTATTAAATCAATGAACATTTCTTTACATATTTTTATTTACATTTTTTTAGACTTTCTTTTATAATGTTAGTATCTTCATAATCAATATTGGCAAAAGATAGCAAAACGTACAGCCTTGATCAAAGAAATATGTGCTTCTAAAGAATAAAAAAAAAGAAAATATATTGGCCATATTTTCTGTAAATTCTTAACCGGAGATAATGACATCAATCCATCAGAAGTCAATATAGAAAAGGCTGAAACTATAAAATATACGAAGATTTGTTCTAAGGAATCATGCCATCGATTTTAATGAAAAGAAAAACTTGTTTCTTCTGCTGCACTCAGTGCGGGAATAGAAACCGGATGTTTCGAAAAATTACAGTATTTAAATTTCTTGAATACGTAGCAGTCAATGTTGCGAAAGACATGTGCGAGTCGTTGCGTATGTGTGTGTGTATGTGTGTACATAGATGTGTACCTTGTCCCTGTGCGTGTGTTGGTCCGCCCGCTGTATGACGTGTTGTTGTGTGTGTGTTGTGTATGTATATAGATGTGTACCTTGTCCCTGTGCGTGTGTTGGTCCGCCCGCTGTATGACGTGTTGTTGTGTGTGTGTTGTGTATGTATATAGATGTGTACCTTGTCCCTGTGCGTGTGTTGATCCGCCCGCTGTATGACGTGTTGTTGTGTGTGTGTTGTGTATGTATATAGATGTGTACCTTGTCCCTGTGCGTGTGTTGGTCCGCCCGCTGTATGACGTGTTGTTGTGTGTGTGTTGTGTATGTATATAGATGTGTACCTTGTCCCTGTGCGTGTGTTGGTCCGCCCGCTGTATGACGTGTTGTTGTGTGTGTGTTGTGTATGTATATAGATGTGTACCTTGTCCCTGTGCGTGTGTTGGTCCGCCCGCTGTATGACGTGTTGTTGTGTGTGTGTTGTGTATGTACATGCATGTATATAGATGTGTCCCTGTGCGTGTGTTGATCCGCCCGCTGTATGACGTGTTGTTGTGTGAGTGTGTGTATGTATATAGATGTGTACCTTGTCCCTGTGCGTGTGTTGATCCGCCCGCTGTATGACGTGTTGTTGTGTGAGTGTGTGTATGTATATAGATGTGTACCTTGTCCCTGTGCGTGTGTTGGTCCGCCCGCTGTATGACGTGTTGTTGTGTGAGTGTGTGTATGTATATAGATGTGTACCTTGTCCCTGTGCGTGTGTTGGTCCGCCCGCTGTATGACGTGTTGTTGTGTGACTGTGTGTATGTATATAGATGTGTACCTTGTCCCTGTGCGTGTGTTGGTCCGCCCGCTGTATGACGTGTTGTTGTGTGAATGTGTGTATGTATATAGATGTGTACCTTGTCCCTGTGCGTGTGTTGGTCCGCCCGCTGTATGACGTGTTGTTGTGTGTGTGTTGTGTATGTATATAGATGTGTACCTTGTCCCTGTGCGTGTGTTGGTCCGCCCGCTGTATGACGTGTTGTTGTGTGAGTGTGTGTATGTATATAGATGTGTACCTTGTCCCTGTGCGTGTGTTGGTCCGCCCGCTGTATGACGTGTTGTTGTGTGAGTGTGTATGTTTGTGTGTTTGTGTGTGTGTGTGTGTGTGTGTGTATATATATATATATATATATATAGATGTATACCTTGTCTCTGTGCGTGTGTTGGTCCGCCCGATATATGACGTGTTGTTGTGCGAGTGTGTATGTATGTATGTGTATGTGTGTATATAGATGTGTACCTTGTCCCTGTGCGTGTGTTGGTCCGCCCGCTGTATGACGTGTTGCTGTGTGAGTGTGGCGGCGTGCTCCAGCGCGGCGGCCTCACGTTTCGCGCACGTTTCAGCGAGCGCTCGCGCCTCCAACAAGGACGCCTCCAGACGATTGCAGCGCTCTGTCTCTCTGCAAATATTTATAAAAATTATATTTTCAATGCAGTTGCTCATAAAGCGCTATTTTTTTAATCCATTGTAAACACCGAAAGTGAGTCTTTAAACAATAGTGTTAAATAAAAATGTACTGAAATCCTTTACTGCACACGTGCTTAAATAGTATATTTCATTACAAGTGCGGAAAGGCTGTCATTGCAACGAGTTCCGTTAAATGTCTATTTTTAATGCAGTTGCTCAAAAATGAAGCAATTTATTTGTTTTTTTAGAAGTTATAATTCACATATACATTGAAATTGGTACAGTTTTTTATACTAACTGGGGAAGTTTTAGGTTGCATATTTACTGTTTGAAAAACTATTATTAATTTCGTATGATTGTTCATGTATATTTGTCATACAATGGCGTTTGCTAGTTGATGGAACTGGATCTGATGAATTATCATTATCAACGTCGGTAGATGGACGTACGTTCTCTTCAACGTATGAAGGAGACGGACAGGACTTTAATTTAATGGATTGTGTGATTTTTTCCAGTTTCTTGTTTAATGAATCACCAATATAGCTTTTCGTATCAAACACCAAACAAACACATTGTGTGTAACAAACAACTCGCAAAGAAAATTTCTGGAAAATGGCGCCATTTTTTCTTCACCCATCCAGCACGCGTAGCATGACGAACTCGAGAACGTTTTGTCTACACTCAAATGTCACCTTTCTCGGATGCGCCCATACTATATCTCACTCTCGACCCGAGAAACTGACAAATGAGTGTAGACAAAGCGTTTCTCGAGTTTGTCATGCTACGCATGCTGGTAGGCAAAGGGAACTATGCCCATACATACATAGTCTTCAGTAGATTTTTTTATTGATATGAAATGAAAATGAAATATAATGTTATAAAATTAAATGAAACCTAACCTCACTAATTCAATCAAATCATTAAATTTGATATCGATACAAATTAGTAGCTTTTTTAGAAAAATACATACGCTACGTATTTACATGAATCATAAAAACTTCTTTGATTGTTTTTAGTAAAAACTTCATGGTTGGTTTTACTTATTAATAGACATTATTTTGACAGTTGGGAAAGAGAAAGCACGAGTGCGGGAAAGGTAAAAAAAAAGCACGAGTGTGTAATAGCCCACATCCCGAACGCTATACGTCCCTGCAATACGCCACTTTTTGAGCAACTGTATTAAAAAGTATTTTTTTATTTTTTTTTTGCCCGAGCACCAAAGAAATTAAAAAAGAAATGATGAAAATATGTCAAATTTTAGAGGCAAAAGTATTTCAAGGAGCCTAGAACGAATATTTTCAAATAAAAATGTATGACACGAAAACATGTTCAAATATAACGTTTAATTTTAAACAAATAATTTTTACCTTTAATACATACTTAGTTTTATTTACCTATATATTTGTTTTATTTCCTCGCAAAAAGCATTGAAAAATGTTGTAAGAAACTTGAGCGTAAAAGGTTTTTCGAATTCGTGCCAATAAAACCCTCGCTGCGCTCGTGTACTCAATTTGGCCCTTATTCGTTAAACCTTACTTTCCGCACTAGTATCTTAAATAACTATTATTATATTCGATTAATTTTGAATTCGTAATGCTATACTGAAAAATGCTTAAAATAATCCACTTTGCCCTTGGTACTATCAGATGGGATGGGACTCAAACCTTTCGGTGACGAGTGCTTCAAAAATTCATCAGTCCTGTAAGATCCTGGGTAGTTCAGTGGTTAGAGCAGTCATCCGGACTGTGAAAGGTTCGTTCGAATCCCATCTTGGTGTACTCGGGCCTGGTTTGATTATTTATTTTTAAATTTTTTCATTAAATAAAAAGAATATCAATATAATAATAATAATTCTTTATTGTGAACTACATAGCGTAACAAATCAATTTGCCCTGTCTCCCAAATTAGGTTGCCCTGTATGTCAGGAGTCGGTGCTCTCTTAGGTATTACATTTTGGCTTATGCAGACTAAGAAATTAAATACCATAAGAACAAGAGAGATAAAATAAATTAATAAGACTTTTAACATTTACAAATTATTCTATTAGATTAACCATGCAAGAACCGGGTGTACGTGGGTGTGTGTGTGTGTGTGTATATATATAAAACATTGTGAATGCTAAATTAATCAAATATAATAAATGTATATTTTTAAAGACAATATTAAGACCGCTTTGTAAATCTAAAATTCCATACGCACTTAATTTAATTCAATTAAGTGGAAATTATATGATTTATGGTTGAGGATTTTTCATAAAAGGTATCAAGTAGCCAACAGAATAAAAAAAATACTATAATTAGTCGCGGGAAAACAGCTAGTTCATATATATTTGTGTCAGTTGCAAATGTATAAAATACCTTTGTAATTGTCCATTGAGTGTGTCCGCTACGGCTGCCTGAGCTCTTAGTGCTGCCAATTCTGCCGCTTCCTCTTCTAACCGCAAATTGCTGGCTTTCAAATGCTCTACCTAAAAGGGAAAAAATACTCTATACTCCATTCATTATAGCATTAGACAGAATGAAAATAAGGTTCTTTTTATGGTATACTTTGTGACAAAATATCAATAATCATGTTACTCTTGAGACTAACGGCTAATTTGATACATATCCACTTAAATATCAGCTGCTATACTTAACCGTAGTCTTTTAAGCTATATATTAAACAAATTTATGAGTATTTGACTGACTTAAAACATTTAATAATTATTACAATAAAAAGTGTTCATCTTAAAGAACCTAAAGAAGCAGGGTTAGATAGTTTCGGCATGATTCTCATGTCACTATAACTCTACCAAATTTAAAACGTTACCTAATCCCTTCAAACGTTTCGGTAGTACAGCTTTTTAATTTTATCAGACTATGATGTATTCATAATTGTCAAAATACTTAATCTGGTATTGTCATCCATTGTGAATGCTACTACCTATTTTGTTATTTTGCCGTTTTCCGTGATTAGAAGAAGAAGAAGTTTATTGAACATTCATATACATATTTTCATATACAATAATGATGTTCAAGAGAGGAAAAAAAGATTAATAAAATAAAATACAAAAATTAATGAGTTAACAAAAAGAGCGGTCAACATGGACCCTATCTCAGCGATGGCCTCAGCAACTAAATGATTCTTGATTTTAATTGATTAATATATATCGATTTATAACTTAAATACAATATGACGTCAGAATGATAGTTTGCTATGTAAAAAACTATCATTAAAATGTAAATACCCATGAAAGCTTAAAACAACAAGCAGTATGCGCATAAATAAATAAATATTAAACATCATAACATATATTTATTAAGTAGTTTTTAGCACTTGTATCAAGTAAATCTAAAACAACGAAGGTTACCACAACACCCAAAGTCGAGACAATTTGTTTTTTTTCTGTAATGTAATACCTCGGTTGTAGCGATGTTTAGGGCAGCAGTAGCGTTGTCTCGCTCTCTCGTGCACGAGTCCAGTTGTTGTGAGAGGGACGTAAGCTGTTTGTCCAGCTCTTGCTTCTCGTGTCGGCACAGTATGAGGGCCGCTTGACTCTCTTTCAACTCTGATTCTAGATAAGTTTTCAAACAGTATTATATACAATTTAATTCCCACCGTTTCATTTCATAAATGAATGAATATCTACTTTATTGGACACAGTAAAACTAATCACATATAATCTAAATATATATAACTCAAAGGTGACTGACTGACATAGTGATCTATCAATGCACAGCCCAAACCATTGGACGGATCGGGCTGAAATTTGGCATGCAGGTAGATGTTATGACGTAGGCATCCGCTAAGAAAGGATTTTGATCAATTCTACCCCCAAGGGGATAAAATAGGGGATGAAAGTTAGTATGAAACTCTGTCAATTTTAAACAGATCGGGCTGAGACTTTGCATGCATAAAACTACTATGACGTAGGCATCCCCTAAGAAAAGATTTTGATAAATTCCATTTACAATTCTAGTTTTCTACACGATATATTGAATAAATATTCGTTAGAAATGCTGCTCAGAGTAACTTTACCACGCGGACGAAGTCGCGGGCATAAGCTAGTTAGAATATAAAAAGCAAAAAGTGGCCTTATTGCTAAGGTAGCAATCTCTACCAGGTTACCCTTGGCTAAAAGAAACTACACTAATAGAGCTAAATAGCTCTGACATAAAATCAATTGGCAACGAAAACAGTAGCGTGGGTGGGAAAGAGAACATGTTAACTAAAAAACAATTGATTTTCTCTTTTTATTATCTTTTTTACCTTACATATAATATTTCTATAAAGAGGCTGGGAAGCAAACGCATAGTAACCCAGCAAACCCAAAATTGGTCTTCAGAACAGAACTTTTTTTACTTTTATTGTGAATGCAAAATTGATCAAATATCATAATTAGAACAAATTTTTATCTTTATTGAAAGTTTAAATATTTGTAAAAATATTTCCTTCGGCTGTTTGGGTGGATTGCCTGAACATTGATGAAAATACGCTCTGTAGTAGCGAAAAAGTATCAAGTGCTTGAAACATTCGTCAGTACTGTTAGGTCCTGGGTAACTCAGTGGTTAGAGCAGTCGCTCGGATTGCGAAAGGTCACGGGTTCGAGTCCCATCTTCAAAGTGCCAGGGATAAAGTGAATTTTTCAGCATTTTTCATTATAATAATAATATAATAAACTTTCTTATAATATTATTAAGAAAATATTTTTATTTTTGTTTTTCAGGGGAGCCTCGTGTTTGCTCATGTACGTAAAATCTTACTTACCCAACTGTTTTGCCCTAACAGTATCTCCGGCGTTAGCAACAGCTGCATCTTTAGCTGCCTCCAATTCAGTCACTTGTTGTGACAGTTTTTCTGCTCTCTCAGCACTCTCCTAATATCAAAACATAGGCTATAATTAATCAAAGAAGTTAATGAACTACAACTAAGGTACGCAAAAAAATAAACAAAGGAATACCTTGTAAGCATCCATTTCCATCCTTAATTTGCTCTGAGTCCATTTGAGCCGACCCTCCAACTCGCGAAGCTCCTCGCGCACCTTAGAAACCTCACGCTCACTATTCAACAGCTCGTGACACTGAAAACAATGTGTACATCAGAATACAATTATGAACATATATCAATGAGGTAATACACCTAATGAGTTCATGGGAGAGTTCCATAAGTAAGCTGTCTAGTGACAAGCAAAACAGATCCAAAAACGTAGAGTTATCATAGAGAATAAGGGTAATATTGTAAATGACAGGAATGAAACAAGCTCCTTTTTATTAAAAATAGAGAAAATTGGCAAAATTATGGTTACCAAGAGATGGAAAGATAAGGGGTAAAGAATTAACCCATTCAACAGATACTTCCATCTTGATTTAAGTTTGTATAAACTTTTTTCATAATTATAAAAAGGAACTGAAAAATAAAAGTAAAAATTAATTTTATTATGGCTTAGCTATATTATGGCTTTATTATGGCTTAGCTAAAATGTTAATTGCAGTCAGGAGACCTCTTAGTTCCCTGCAATGAGGCAGTAACTTTGGGCAGTCATGTAAAAAAAGATGTTTGACATAGAGGAGATCTTTTGTTATTGTTTGTAAGAACCAAGGTATTCTGGAACGGCTGCATCAATGCATGAGTTTTGCTTACCTACTGTTTTACTAACATTCACTAACCTTATCATCATACAATTGACAGATCCTATGCTTCTCTCCGTGAGCTGACTTTAATTTACTATTCAGAAGCTCTACTTCTGACAATGCTGCCTTTTCAGCAGCTGCAGCTTTGTCCGCGGCACGCCTCGCCTCTATGCTCATGCACTCTACGCTTGCATAGCGCATTACAGCTGCATCTTTCTCTCGTTCAGCTTGATCCATTCGTTTGCTCATCTGAAATTTAATTGTGGTATAGTTATAGTTAAGTCTGTTAATGACGCCAAGAACATAAGCGACATAATTATAAGTAGTATTGTCTTATTAACATATTTTAAACAACATAATCTAATTGTTTAGGAGATAAAGTACTTATAATAATAAATAGTGATTTTTGAGAATCATGACTGAGATGAGATTGCTTCAGACAGTGTAGTTGACCACAGTGGCAAGCTTGATTGTGTTATTTGTCAATGCATATTCACAGATGGCACCCTCTTTTGTCATTGTTTAATAACACAGGGATGTATATTGTCTGGATGTTGTAGTTCATTTATATCAGATACTCCATGAGGGCTTTAGCTACTCATCATGGAATATGGGCAATGTATGTGATGTTGTCTCATATTTATTTACTATGTTTCACCACAATAACAAAGCTTAGTTTTGTTGATTTGAATTTAAACCATAATGTCTTGAAAGTTAAGTTCAAAATTTGTCCTTTTATAATAATGTGTATACCTTGACTTACACCTTAACAGAAGCTATGATTATTAGAATTAATCATTGTAATGTACATAACAAGGCACTGAGGAAAAAGGATTTAGAAAATTTTGCCAGATTCTTTCTCCCCTAAAGGATTGGAGTCTAATACAAATTTACTGGGTCAACAAAAAATTTAATTGCAATCAGAAGAAATTTTCCAAATCAGTGTCCTGCTATGTACTTTCAAACTGAATTAATTTTAAAGCTATTAAGACAATAACTAACCAGGTCCATCTTATTCTCCAAATCTTTGAACATCTGATCTTTCTCCTGCAACTCATCCAAATGTTGTTTTACTCTTTCTCTCAATGTTGCATTCTCCTTTCTCTGCTCAGCCAATAATTGTTCTAGTGTCTCAACTTGCATTTTCAACATATCCTTTTTAGAATCACTACCGGTCTCATCATATTCTTCATGTTTCACTTCACTATACGTTTCAGAGATGTTACTATCATTTGCCTTTTCTTGACTGTCTAAATTTTCCAAATGTTTCTCTTCTGTAGTTTCTTCTTCAAAGATATAATTCATTACCTTACCATTGGGTATCGGTCTTGTCATATTCTTAATAGGTGCCTTTTGTATTGATATTCTGTGGGTATTATTATATGCATTCTTTAAGCTACCGCTAACAGTGGAGAAAATGCCATGGACATTTTTAACAATACTACCCAAATCTTGAGGTATTAATTCTTTTGGCAATCTAGCATACCGAGTATCTAAACTAGCTTGACTATTACCTTGTGCATGTTGTGGAATCTTTTGTGTTGCAGAAACTTTATTTTTTTGATTTGTAAACTCAGTCAAGATTTCGTCTGCATTTATTAGATTGGGAACAGATGTTTTCTCATTCAAATTCTGTTCTGTTACCAATATGTTTTCAGCACTTTTGCTATAAGACGATTTTAATATAGTAATATTATTAACAGAAGTTATATTTTGTTCATTCAAACTGGTGCTTGATGTTGCAAGTGAGTTATTATGTATTCTTTTTATATCTGGTTTGTTATCATTACAGTAAGGTATAATTTCAGTAATGTTTAAAGGCTTACTGTTAAGTAAATCAGGTCCCAATGAATCACTTTCACTTTGATTAAGTTTGTCACAACATACTTCATTTATTTCTTTGGTTGGTGAACTTTCCGATTCAGAACTGGTCAGGTCGGTTGGAGATAACTGTCTCTTGGACGTGGTGCTTTCTTTTTCATCATTCCCATCAAGGGATGTTGATAAAGGGCTCGATAACAAGGAATCTTGAACTTCTTCAATGCTGTCATAATTAATACACTTTTCATGATTTTCAGCAGATTTAGTTGAAGATATTTCGGAGTCAATAGTAGCAGTATACACAGTGGAACAGGTATCTTGTGTTGATAATCCAGAATCACTTGTTAAATCACACGCAGAACCATTTTCTTTCCTTTCTTTATTGACGTCAACATAATCAATATGGAACGATTCATCGTTTGACTCTAAGGACATGTTTAATGTTACGACTCAATATTTATAGATAAACTATTTAATTTTAAATTTAATAACAAAAAAGCCATGGAAGAAAGCCGTGATAAAAAATTATATGGAAAATAAACATAGACTGATTTCCTTTTGGTAATATTATATTTCTCTATGACTGATTTTCACCCTTGTTTTGACGTCTCGTCGCCAGAAAAAAAAAATTGACATTGACAGCTTTTTTTTTTTGTAATATCAGTAGGTACTGATTCATACAGCCAATTCGAAGAATATTTTTTTGTCTCTTTGATGATTATACTTATAGTATACAACATATTTTTATCTCAATGGACAGCGTTATTATTATTTCTTTCAGTCTCAAGTTTTTAGAGATATATCCCTTTACAGAATTTCTGCCTTTATCTTTATTTCCTAGGACCGCACATTGTAGCAAAAAGCTTGCCATTCAAAAAATTAGGAAACCATAATGTAATTTTACTGGCAAGTCTAGTCATGAACGTCACGTCATTTCCATTTCGCTCGCAAGGGAAATTGAAACGGAAAAGTAGGTCGTCGGTATTGATTTTTCCAATATTCGGCAAACAAAAGACGTAACTCTTTGTGTCGTACTGTAGAATTGATGTTGTCGTGAACCGGACCATTGGGAACCCGAAAAATGCCTGTAAGTTAATATATTGAACATGTGCTTGATTTCGTTCATCATGATTTCATAATAGTTTCCTTTCTAGAAATAATGTAACCGCTTTTCTGCGATATATGTGTTGCATTAAATGGCAGTAGATTCTCGATTACGTGAATTTCAATTGGAAGGTGAGAGTTTTAGTATGATTCGCTTACGACCACCTATTATACCCACGAGCGTGACTCATTCTTCAGGGTCACGTTACACACCTACCTCCTGTCCATTTTACGCTGATGCGTAGTTGTTAGCTAACTGCCTACTTGACACGGCAGCAAAGCACGTAATCTCCCATAATTTTCATTTTGTAAAGCGAAAGTTATAGGTTAATATTTTTAGAGACCACATTTTTCACTAATCTAAATTTGGGGTTTTCACATTAGTCATTGTTGGCGGTAAAAGTGTTCTACACTGTCAAGCAATTACACATTTGCAATCAAGGTTTGGTTATTGTAAAATATTCTTATTAGATTCTAGTTTTATATATATTTTGTTAAATTCTTTGTATTTAACACCTATTTTATTATTATTTGTTGAAAATATTTAAATTCAACTGCCATCTGCTAAAAGTTTTCCATTCTAAGTTTAATCATATTTCACGAAATATTTTAAAATTTTAAAATGTGTGATATATTAGTGTGAAACAATGTGCTCTCAAATTTATCAAAATTGATATCACAATTTGCTCTCAAACCATACATCAATTTAAAATCTTTTTTTATTAAGGATGCGGAGCTTACTGCTCCCACAGTGGAGAATGTTCGTGTGGTGGTTCGCGTTCGTCCAATGGACCAGCGGGAGAAGCTTGAGGGTTCTCCCAATTGTGTGTCTGTGGACCCTGTCAATAACACAGTTGCAGTCACAAGAAATAACGTAACACCACCTGAGCCACCTCGGATTTATGCTTACGATGCTGTATACGACAGTAACACCAGTCAGGTAAGTGGAAATAACATTGTGCAATTAATATAATTAAACTTGCTAAAAAATTGTCTCTCAAATAAGTACTAGAAAAAAAATATTGTGGATTTAAATAGGTTTTTGTTGGTGATTTTTTACATTTTAATTATGAAACAAAATTATGAAGAATAAACAAGTATAGTTTATATTTCTTAAGCTTGCATGTTAACTGTATGTTACTTTCAATTCTTTCCTAAAATTATGTTACAATGATAGTTAGTCACTAGTCTCATCGCTTACTGAGTTGGTAACTTACCCATTTCTTTGTTGTTAGTCTATGTTTAATATCTTGTGAATTGCTTTTACTTTACTGACAGACTTATAAAGATGTTACTTTATTTTTTCATATTTTAATTCTATAACAATGTGATTTCTACATTTTACTAGTACAACAAAGTAAACAAACCAGGGAGGAAAACGAAAAATATATAAATCAATATATCACTGTTGAGTAAAAATAATGAATTCCATTAGCAGTGTTCATTTTATAGAAAGCAACAAAAAAAAAAAAAATTTGTTAGTTTATATAAATTGATTAAAATACAAATTATAAAATATTGGATTTATTCTGTGGAACACATTATATATTTTTTTTATTTGTTATACAACTTCCTTACATACTTTTGAAGAACAAAAAAGTAGTCATATAAATGAAGACTTTCTTAATTGATAATTAAAAAAAAAAGAAATTTAGAGAACATGATTTTATTGCCTGTAGTTAAGTCTATTATTAATATAGCTATAGCAAGTGGTGGATGAAGAATTTGAAGATGCACTGGTCTCATCCGCCATTCGTCTTGACTTGAGCGGTTATATGCTTCAGTCTTGTCGAATGGTGGGTGAGCTCAGGGCAAAACCATCTGATGAAGACGAGACCGCAAAGAAGACAAACAAGAAGAATTATATTTTTAAAATACAAAAATTCAAATTTTAAAGTATTTCAAAACATCACTAACTTTGACAAATACAGTATCAGAAGCAAATCTTTATAAATTTTCATTAAAAGAAAAAACAATATCACTTTGTCAATGTTTTATTTTTTTTATTATATGTGAGTTTTTTTTTTATTTACTTTGATATTATGAGATTTACTTTAGATGGCCTTTTAGTAATTTTTTTTTTTCACACTTACACACAGAAATATTGTACTCAAGTAGTAGCAGTCTGTAATCCTGTTGTGTACATAACAGCCATCTCATTAAGATGCCATGACAGCAGCTTCGGCGGTGTCGCCAATCGTATCAAACTAAGGTATAACTTACCTAACCCAACGTCAATAGGCGATGCATCGGTTCCAAAATAAAATATGTGATACTCACGCTCATGTATTTTCTCCTTCGCTATCCTATATAGATAACTTCTGACATCCTCTTTGGCGTCCGACATGGCGTCCAATGGGAATCTAATACAGTCGTAAACAGTGACACATGTTCATGCATATTATTTTATATGTGCAATATTATTCTTAAACCCAGTGGCTCTTAACCTTTCAGTCATTTGACAAAATTACCATCTGGCCATAACATATGTACCTGTATCTGTTATGCGCTACTTCGCCCACACAAGATATAGCGTCTTAATTCGGCACTTATAGTTACACATAATATTTGTGAAACACAAGGCCTGTTCTATTTTTATCTATTTTCGAAACGCTAATACGACTCTAAAGAAAGTCATTTTGAACGATTCTTAATTCTCTGGATTTTCGTTAGGCTCTTTTTAATTTGTGCGTGTTATATTATTATGTAATCATCACTACAGTACGAGATAATGGAGTAACAATCTAAACGCATCTTGCGTTGCGTAGTGGCTCGCAGCCAGTGACGTCGCAAGACATTAAGATACTTAGTGCTTAATGCGTCTGGAATGTTGCGCCACAAACACCCACACGCGACCAATGAAGACAGAAGATTATTTATAAGATTTAATATTGTATCTGAAGCGAACAGGTTATAAAAAAACATGCTGTAGTTAATCGAAGATAATTAGTAAAAAATATTCCTAGGTATGAATTGACTCAGAAAATGTTATTATTGTATTTCGCTTGTTCCAAATAATATATTGAATACACAATTTTTATAACGAATACTACGTGTACTTTTGGTTATAAATGTACACAAGGCTACATATCAGATATCCACAATATGTTAAATTTCTCCAGTTGATTTTCAAATCTACCCGCAAAAAGTTAAGGTTTAAGAAATTTGAGAGATTTATAAAACCCGACGTGTTGACTGTAACTGAGTCGAAATCATTTTTTTTAAAATAGCAAATAAGTTCCTAAACACCGAATTTTAAATGTATTTTACCAATTATTATTATGAAATGCTCATTTTCAATGCTACTTTTATGATTAAGACTAACACCTGGTTTCTGAACTGAGTATTTAAATTTAAGCACGTCTTAGACTGTTTTTACCTTTAGTTAATTAAATGATAAAAGTGCTTATAATTCATTCGGCTACAAATATAATAGCCGATTGTGGATAACATATTTATCAATTTTCCTTATGAAAACAAAATATACTTAATTACAACCAGAAATTCGAAACTTTGGATGGGGTAATTTTGTAATGTTTTGTCTAGCGACATTTATAAATTCATGTTTTGGATGCGGCAGACAAGAGCCCATAAATATGTCTTTCCTCATTTTAATGACAGCTCATTCGGTCGTTATATATTTATATACAAAACCAGTTGTATTTTAATTGGACAAAAATAGGATTGCATTGGATTCCGTTCTAGTTTCCCCGGTTTGCCCCAGTTTTGGGGCCCGAGAATAATCACATGAAACGAGATAAAATCGATAACCTGACAGAGACAGACTGTGCCACGTAGAACGGAAAACGCTTAATCGATCACTCGCAAGCCTTTATGGTTATTGCAAAATTACTCATGTTAAAGTGGTTATAATATATTTATTTATAAAAAATACTAGCTTTCCGCCAGCGGCTTCGCCTGCGTATCCCTAGGGAACTGTTTATTTCATATGGCAAATAGGTATTCTACTCTGTTTAAAATAATACTTGTAACTGTTTATTTTAATTTAAAAAAAGCCATAAAACAAATATTTTGGAAAAATTAACACGTTTTCTTGCTTTGAACTTAAACTTTTTTATACCCGCGAAAACGCTGACCGTCATGTTCATGACGTCATTGTGATATGTACACAAAACAGATGCATAGAGTAGGAGATTAAAAGAGGTCAATAAAACAAGAACAATGAAATCTAACGATCGATCACAAAATAAAAAGATATAAATATGCTAAGAACAGCGCCATCTAGGAATTTGATTTACAATTATTATGCATATTTTTATGATTATTCTGGCAGCCGTCGCCACAGTGACGTCACACAATGGCAAGTCGTGTTTCAAGTCACGTGACACAATAAATCACGATATTAAGATAATCGTACGACTTTAAGACTCAAAACCAGAATCTATGTTTATTACGATGTAAATTTTAGTTTTTGTGCGATTTTGTGACATATTTTACACTACCCTATTGAATAGCAAAGAATTATTACTATGGCAAAAATTTAATTTCCCTATACAAATTTCCACTCCCATTTTCATCCTTTTATTTGCTGTTTTTCAGGATAAAATTTGCTCAGGATAAAATGTAGCCTATGTCCACCGCATATGATGTAGATTCCCGTAATTTTAATGTAATTTTCGGAGCCAATTCTTTGGAAACAAACTCATAATAAAATTTTTCCTATTTAATATAATATAAGTACAGTTTTTTTTAATTAAAATAGGTATAGTGGACTGTATAGATGATTTGACAATTCTAAAATTTTAAGAGATTATTCCTTAAATCATGCATTTCTTAATTATTACTTTGACATATTTAATATAAGTATTTATTTATCTCCACGAACAGGATCCTTAAACAGATATGCAGGAAATAAAACTATATTATAAATTCCTATCACGAGGAGATTAGTGCCTGATGTGGGTTCGTAAGTCGGTATGTTTGTTTACCGCAGATAAGACATGAGATTAATGAAGTAGGTGGAATACTAGAGTGGGTTAATTTTGCGTGAATTAGCTATATGTAGATATGAAATAAATTGTTATTTTGAGTAGTGGTATAAGTCTTAAAATTTATTTACTAGCCTTCTGTCAGCGGCTTCGCCCGCGTGGTCTTGTATTATACATAAAAACCTTCCTTTTGAATCACCCTATCTATGAACAAAAACCGCATCAAAATCCGTTTCGTAGTTTTAAATATTTAAGAATACTTAGGATATAGGGACAGAGAAAGCGACTTTGTTTTATACTATGTAGTAATTTGGGAGGTGATTCCTGGCACGCTAATCATATCCATAGTTCATAATTATTGAAAATAAAATCTGGGATGTTTTATAAATTTCACGTGTGTACCTTTTCGATTGATACATTACTTTTATCGTTAATTAATACGTACTTATTGTGATAAGAGTACTTTTTGTGTACCATTTATTTGAAACCATCCTAAAACCATTTTCTCAGGAATCATACTCATTTCTTGGATTCGAAAATCAATCAACAAAGTAATATTTAACAATTAAAAGAACTACAAAATGTCTAAACTTTTTTTAACAGTCGTATAGAAAATAAATATAAAATATATATAAACAATCTCATAAGTTAGAGATTGTTTATATATAACAAAAAAACATTCGCTTCTAACACCATGGAAGGCGATTTAAAATTGTACATTTGAAACACAATTAGATAATTTAACCTACTATCTACACAAGTATTAGAGTTTCAATGCCACCGCAGCAGGCGGACTGATTGTTGTGGCAAGGTTGCCACGCCGGCCTCGCCTGTCATGGCGTAACGTAGTAACAACAGATTATAATACTTTTTTTTTTTGTAGTTACGTATGTTTTTTTTCTGACGCTCCTACGTTTCGTTTTGGAACGATAATATGTATGAAACGACAAAAATGATCAGTGTTTTGAAAATATTATTTTTTTTACATGAA